TAGTGTAAAACAGTGTCCCGTTTTCTATTAACAACTCCTAGGTTAGATTGTGGCAGTTTAGTACACCAGTTTAGAGACGTTGTGATCTCTGGAGAGGCCGTGGGTGTGCTCCCCCCCCCACACACAGGTACGTTATACACAAGCCACACTAAACAACAGGGCTGTTGTGGGTGTGGGGCGGTCAGCTATCCGTCAACCTGTGGCGACCTTGGTCACTCAACCGCAGATAAACAACGCCCTCACCCCCCCCCCCACAACCACCCACAGTGAAGGGTTAGGAGGTGTAGCGACATACAAATACTCTCCACCATAGGCTAAGTAGCTGCCCTGTATGGACCAAAACTCCTGTAGTTTCATCAGTTCCTTTTTACTTATAACAACCGATAAATATAGGAAATTGAAGGCCAACTGGCTCATACGAGGCAGCTCCTATTGGTCCATACGAGGCAGCTCCTATTGGTCCATACGAGGCAGCTCCTATTGGTCCATACGAGGCAGCTCCTATTGGTCCATACGAGGCAGCTCCTATTGGTCCATACGAGGTAGCTCCTATTGGTCCATACGAGGCAGCTCCTATTGGTCCATACGAGGCAGCTCCTATTGGTCCATACGAGGCAGCTCCTATTGGTCCATACGAGGCAGCTCCTATTGGTCCATACGAGGCAGCTCCTATTGGTCCATACGAGGCAGCTCCTATTGGTCCATACGAGGCAGCTCCTATTGGTCCATACGAGGCAGCTCCTATTGGCCCATACGAGGCAGCTCCTATTGGTCCATACGAGGCAGCTCCTATTGGCCCATACGAGGCAGCTCCTATTGGTCCATACGAGGCAGCTCCTATTGGCCCATACGAGGCAGCTCCTATTGGTCCATACGAGGCAGCTCCTATTGGTCCATACGAGGCAGCTCCTATTGGTCCATACGAGGCAGCTCCTATTGGTCCATACGAGGCAGCTCCTATTGGTCCATACGAGGCAGCTCCTATTGGTCCATACGAGGCAGCTCCTATTGGTCCATACGAGGCAGCTCCTATTGGCCCATACGAGGCAGCTCCTATTGGTCCATACGAGGCAGCTCCTATTGGCCCATACGAGGCAGCTCCTATTGGTCCATACGAGGCAGCTCCTATTGGTCCATACGAGGCAGCTCCTATTGGTCCATACGAGGCAGCTCCTATTGGTCCATACGAGGCAGCTCCTATTGGTCCATACGAGGCAGCTCCTATTGGTCCATACGAGGCAGCTCCTATTGGTCCATACGAGGCAGCTCCTATTGGTCCATACGAGGCAGCTCCTATTGGTCCATACGAGGCAGCTCCTATTGGTCCATACGAGGCAGCTCCTATTGGTCCATACGAGGCAGCTCCTATTGGTCCATACGAGGCAGCTCTTATTGGTCCATAATTCCTACTGCCCCATAATTCCTACATATTCGTATTCATAATTCCTACATATTTCGGTCATAATTCGCATACTGTCTGTGTGGCATAGACATCAATACCATATATTCCAGGTAAACTTTCTCTTACCATATGTGAAGGAGTTCTTCACATGAGGGCATAATGCTCAGGTGTGTTACTGCTCTCTACCATTACCGCCAGCTTCACTTCTTCATCCTCCTCTTGGATCACCTTAATTCTTGTCTTTAGTGCTTTCACACTTATCTGACATACACCATAGACAAGAGTTTTCCCCGTGGTCCTCGTCGCTGTCTCATCACTGTGATGTTCATCAGTGTTCCCACGTGTGAGGGGAGCCACATGACTCGTACTTTGTACCCATATATGTTAGTGTCTTAATGGTCACCCTGCTCTGCTTCACGACATACTCATATACTGGTCTTGTCCTGTATAAGGACTCCAACGCTTCACTACTCTCAATAAGAAATAGGCATATTTACTACTTCCTTTAAGCTCACTAATACAGCTTGAAGTTTAGTCTGCGTTGAAGAGACAGTTACTTATAAGGTGTTGTCTACGGTGCCGATGTCAGCGGACTGTCAAACGAGTGGCGCTGCTATGGTGCTATACCTGGAGCATACCTAGAGCATACCTGGAGCATACCTGGAGCATACCTGGAGCATACCTGGAGCATATCTAGAGAGGGTTCTGGGAATTCTTTTACTCCCCGAGCCCCGTCCGAGGCCAGGCTCGACTTGTGAGAGCTTGGTTCAACAGACATGGAGCGGCCCGCAGGTCCACATATCCACTACAGCCTAGTTGGTCCGGCACTTCTTGCAAGAACCTGTCTAAGTGCCTCTTGAATACACCCACCTTTGTTCCAGTAATATATCTAATGCTTGCTGGGAGGGTGTTGAACAGCTGTGGACCTCTGATGTTCAGACAGTGTTCTCTGATTGTACCTATGGCACCTCTACTCCTCACTGGTTCTGTTCTGCATTTCCTTCCGTACCTTTCGCTCCAGTATGTTGTTATTCTACTGTACAAATTTGGGACCTGACCCTCCAGCATCTTCCATGTGTATATTATTTGACACCTTTCTCGTCTCCTTTCCAGAGAGTACATTTTGAGAGCTTAAAAACGGCCACAATATTTTAGATGTTTTATCGTGTCTATGCGTGTCGTATATGTTCTCTGTATTTCCTCTAATACAGAGATCTCTCCTGCTCTGAAAGGGGAAGTGAGTACCGAGCAATACTCAAGACGGGACAGCACCAGTGATATAAATAATATTAACATTGTTGTGTAGTCTCTGGATTTGAACGTTCTCATAATCCATCCTGTCATGTTCCTGGCCGCCGCTATATTTGCTCGGTTATGTTCACTAAATGTCAGGTCGTCAGACATCATAATTCCCAGATCTTTTACATGTATGTATGTAATGTATGAAGTATGTTCACGCTGCTATGGTGGTATGGTCACTCACAGGATGAGTGACGCTGCTATGGTCACTCACAGGATGAGTGACGCTGGAATGGTCACTCGCAGGATGAGTGACGCTGGTATGGTCACTCACAGGATGAGTGACGCTGGTATGGTCACTCACAGGATGAGTGACGCTGGTATGGTCACTCACAGGATGAGTGACGCTGGTATGGTCACTCACAGGATGAGTGACGCTGGTATGGTCACTCACAGGATGAGTGACGCTGGTATGGTCACTCACAGGACGAGTGACGCTAGTATGGTCACTCATAGGATGAGTGACGCGACCAATAAACTCGCTCTTCGGGCCAAATTTAAACCAGAGTGAGTTTTTTTGTTTTTTATTATTTTCAACCACAGACGTGGCCACACATTTACAATGCTAACCGGAATATATATACATTTTCTTCTGTCCTCCATGGACAGGGTGAGAGATGTTAAACATATAGTTCAGTGATTTATTGAACAATCAACCACAGAAAGACGAGTGTAGTGCTTTTAAAATGCTAAGCTAACCTACATACGTAAATACATAGATACATAGTTACGTTTGCCCTATATAAAGTGTTCAATGTGTTCTTTACATAGTATCATTAATGTGCATTTACAAAGGTGAAATATAATTCTGATCAGTTTCCACATTTACTTTATGCACATACATACATATATATACGCACACATATACATATACATATATACACATATACATACATACACTTACATTTATGGCTCTCCTACTCTGAGAGAGTAAGATAGCTGATAGAGAAACTAGTGTGTTATTAAGCACTTAATCACTGAAGGTGATTAAGGTGCTTTTACAAGCTCAGGTTATATAGTTACATCACATACAAACATTGTATGTATAGTTGATACATTACATGCTCAATCTTGGGTACAAATCCAATATATCACCAGCATACCTCAGCCCAGGAGGGCGAAAACCAGAGTGAGTGTGGTCGACGGGTGGGCGGGAAGACGGTCCCGCTGGCCCATGACCACCCATCATGCTCAGAAAGGTAACACCACCCGCATATCCACCCTTCCTCATTACCACCACCCACCACCACCACCCACCGCACACAACCACCCACCGCACACAACCACCACCCACGACCACCACCCATCACCCACGACCACCACCTACCACACAAAATGCAGATGTTGTATACACAGACTTTACAAAGGGCATTCGATAAGTGTGACAGTGGTCGGGCCGTGCTCGGGGAGTAGAAGAACTCTCGAAACCCTCTCTAGGTATGTTCCAGGTATGCTGACCACCACCATCCCCCCACCACCACACTCACTAGCTGGGACAGTAGTCGACACCGTCACAATTGGGGGCGCATTAATCGGGAGGACAGGTTGATGGACTAGAGCTACTTAGCACCTTCCTTGTATGGTTCCTCTTGCTCTACTGTCTGGTGGTTCCGGGGATCACTGTCACCGCGGCCCGGTCTCTGACTAAACTTCTTGGTTGACGGTCTGGTCAACTATGCTGTTTGTCGCCGCTGTTCGCATTCTGTCGTTGGAAGGTGTTTCTCAAGTTTACTCTTGAACGCTGAAACGCGTATCGATCAGGACAGTCATCCGGGTCCCCTCAAGGTCAGCGTTTTTGTGTCAATTTTATGTTTTGTCCGAAACGCTTTACATACTAATGGCTTCATAGTATGTGCAACTCCTGTCCTTACCATTGTACATTACTAATATGTTCTTTGTACCACATAATTTTGGGTAAACATTGAATTGAAATACGCATATTTGGAGGCGTAGTCAGGTCTACGTGCAGTTTTCATGGCGTATATTGATGGATTACTTTCTAGGGCTGCGTGAAGTAGCCTACTGGAGGCGTATATTGCGTTATTCTAATTGTTGCAAGGTTATGTGTAGTAGTAGTAGTAGTAGTAGTAGTAGTAGTCGTAGTAGTAGTGGTAGTGGTAGGAGTCATCCATCAGTCTCAGGAGACTATGGAGTTGGGCTCTGGTTGTCGGTCTGGAGGCGTATATTCCGTTATTTTAATTGTTGTAAAATTAATGTGGAGTATTGGAGTCGTAAGTCTGGCAGTGTATATTGTTGTATGGCTACTTGGCGTACTGGGGTGTGTATTAAATAATACTTTATATTTCAGGGTTACCTCGAGTACTGGAGACTTCACCCGGAGTCCGGCATCTCCCAGCATCACGTTGATGATCTCTTCTCTAACATAGAGCAGATCTATGCCTTCAACAGGTGAGTAACACGCGCTAGTCACCACTTTATTCATATATATATATATGCGAACAAGCCTGAATGGTCCCCAGGACTATATGCGAATGAAAACTCACACCCCAGAAGTGACTCATACTCCCAGAAGCAACGCAACTGGTAACTACAGGGCGCCTTAATCCGCTTGACCATCACGGCCGTCAAAAGGAAGTGATAGCCGAGGCTATTTGAGCCACTTCCCCGACGGCAACTCGGATGGTAATCTTGGGCATAGCATTTCACCAAATCACCTCATTCTTTGGGGTACACGTGAGGAACACAAATGCGAACAAGCCTGAATGGTCCCCAGGACTATATGCGAATGAAAACTCACACCCCAGAAGTGACTCGAACCCAAGCGGATTAAGCGGATTAAGGCGCCCTGTAGTTACCAGTTGCGTTGCTTCTGGGAGTATGGGTTCGAGTCACTTCTGGGGTGTGAGTTTTCATTCGCATATAGTCCTGGGGACCATTCAGGCTTGTTCGCATTTGTGTTCCTCACGTGTGCCCCAAAGAATGAGGTGATTTGGTGAAATGCTATGCCCAAGATTACCATCCGAGTTGCCGTCGGGGAAGTGGCTCAAATAGCCTCGGCTATCACTTCCTTTTGACGGCCGTGATGGTCAAGCGGATTAAGGCGCCCTGTAGTTACCAGTTGCGTTGCTTCTGGGAGTATGGGTTCGAGTCACTTCTGGGGTGTGAGTTTTCATTCATATATATATATATATATATATATATATATATATATATATATATATATATATATATATATATATATGTTTCATTGAATATGACCGCATATTCTGTATTTATTATTTTCTGGTTTAGGGCTTCTATCCCTCTAACTATTTTCTTAGCATCAGGGCTTAATTGAAATAGGAGTTCTCCAAAACTCATTTTCGTACTTTTAAGGTGAAGAAAAGAAGTGATTTACTATAGAGTGTATTACACTTATTTGTATAATTTGCACGACGTTTCGAACCTTCATGGTTCATTCTCAAGTGAACAGATCTTACAATACTATATAGAACTAGAACAATACTATATAGAACAGATCTTAGTATTGTAAGATCTGTTCACTTGAGAATGAACCATGGAGGTTCGAAACGTCGTGCAAATTATACAAATAAGTGTAATACACTCTATAGTAAATCACTTCTTTTCTTCACCTTAAAAGTACGAAAATGAGTTTTGGAGAACTCCTATTTCAATTAAGCCCTGATGCTAAGAAAATAGTTAGAGGGATAGAAGCCCTAAACCAGAAAATAATAAATACAGAATATGCAGTCATATTCAATGAAACATGTTTGAAAGAAAACCTGCTGCCAGTATACACCAATATATATATATATATATATATATATATATATATATATATATATATATATATATATATATATATATATATATATATATATATATATATATATATATATATATGTCGTACCTAGTAGCCAGAACGCACTTCTCAGCCTACTATTCAAGGCCCGATTTGCCTAATAAGCCAAGTTTTCATGAATTAATGTTTTTTCGTCTACCTAACCTACCTAACCTAACCTAACCTAGCTTTTTTTGGCTACCTAACCTAACCTTACCTATAAATATAGGTTAGGTTAGGTTAGGTAGGGTTGGTTAGGTTCGGTCATATATCTACGTTAATTTTAACTCCAATAAAAAAAAATTGACCTCATACATAGAGAAAAGGGTTGCTTTATCATTTCATAAGAAAAAAATTATAGTAAATATATTAATTCAGGAAAACTTGGCTTATTAGGCAAATCGGGCCTTGAATAGTAGGCTGAGAAGTGAGTTCTGGCTACTAGGTACGACATATATATATATATATATATATATATATATATATATATATATATATATATATATATATATATATATATATATATATATTATTAAATATGACCGAAAAAGTAAGATTAATAATTCTAACACGAATTTTCTCAATCTTTCGTACATTACGCTTCACTGTTGGAGGTAAATCAAAAATCACTTCTCCAAAATTCAAACCAGAAAAACGGCCAGCCTACTCATGAGAAACTCTCCAGACACAAAACAGAACGCTTTAAAAGAGACTAACGTCGTCTATGCCTTCAAATGCCCACTTGGGGACTGTAAGCTCCAAAAAACCCAGTATATAGGCAAGACAACAACATCTCTTTCTAGGCGTTTAACGATGCATAAACAACAGGGCTCCATTAAGGAACATATAATCTCTTCCCATAACCAAACCATCGCCAGAGAAATCCTAGTAAACAACACAGAAATCATCGATAGATACAGCGATAGCAGGCGGCTTGACGTTTGCGAGGCACTACACATCAAGAAGTCAACACCAGCAATCAACAGCCAATTATTGCACAACTATATTCTACCCACCTCAAGACTCCGCTCCAATATAGAAGCATCAAGAAATATGGACCAATAGGCTTTCTACAAACACTTCTATTCAATACCCATTGTTTCTGTTCTGTCTTGTGTTGATACTTTTAATACCCTATTAATATCCCCTAGTGTTCTGTCTTGTGTTAATGCCACATCACCCTTCCCACCTCACTCAAATGTAATGCCACATCACCCTTCCCACCTCACTCAAATGTAATGCCACATCACCCTTCCCACCTCACTCAAATGTAGATATAAAATCAGGGAAACGCAAGTTCTAATCAGTTGTGTATTTGTGAAGTCTTTGAAAATGTAATAAGTTTTACGAAACGCGCCCGTGTCGCGTCAGACTAGAAATAAAAATGAATTTTGGAGAAGTGATTTTTGATTTACCTCCAACAGTGAAGCGTAATGTACGAAAGATTGAGAAAATTCGTGTTAGAATTATTAATCTTACTTTTTCGGTCATATTTAATAATATATGTCTACCCGAAAGACTGCTACCAAAATATACTAATATATATATATATATATATATATATATATATATATATATATATATATATATATATATATATATATATATATATATATATATATATATATATATATACGGGATGGCACTCGAGGCACAGTGAAGTTAACGACATCATCAAGAGGAGCCTCACCACAGCTGGATGCCCAGCTGAAAGAGAGCCCCGTTACCTAACGCCCCGTAACTCTGATGCTCTTATTGGTCGCCCGGATGGTATCACAGTGAACCCCTGGAAGAATGGCAAGCAGTTGGTATGGGACTACACGTGCGTATCAACCCTGGCTAACACCTACATTAACCTCAGTGTTGCACAACCAGGTGGCGCTGCCACCCACAGGGAAGCAGCCAAATCCCGTAAGTATAGAGAACTGGATCACCACTACAATTTTGTCCCCATTGCTTCTGAGACGCTCGGCGCCTGGGGTAAAAGTGCTACTAGTTTTTTGAAGGAACTGGGTTCTAGGCTCATTGAAACAACAAGGGACCCGAGAGCTGCAAGCTTTCTTTTCCAGCGCCTCAGTGTGGCGATACAGAGGGGAAATGCGCACTGCATCCAGGGTTCCTGCCCGCCATCTGAGGAGCTGGAGGAACTCGACAACCTAGGACAACCATCTTTGTAACCCATATGTAACTCCTTTTTTGTAACAAAGTTCAAATAAAGTAAATATATATGTGTACATACAAAAGAATGGGGGTGGTAGGAGAAGATAATATTAGTGTTCAGTGAGAAACCACAAGGTCTCCTCTGAATACTTTTTATTTTCTTCTCCGAGGCTATGGGTCCCCACATTGGCACCAGAGGTGGTACCCTCACAAACTTTATATATATATATATATATATATATATATATATATATATATATATATATATATATATATATATATATATATATATGTCGTACCTAGTAGCCAGAACTCACTTCTCAGCCTACTATTCAAGGCCCGATTTGCCTAATAAGCCAAGTTTTCCTGAATTAATATATTTACTATAATTTTTTTCTTATGAAATGATAAAGCAACCCTTTTCTCTATGTATGAGGTCAATTTTTTTTTATTGGAGTTAAAATTAACGTAGATATATGACCGAACCTAACCAACCCTACCTAACCTAACCTAACCTATATTTATAGGTAAGGTTAGGTTAGGTAGCCAAAAAAAGCTAGGTTAGGTTAGGTTAGGTAGGTTAGGTAGACGAAAAAACATTAATTCATGAAAACTTTGCTTATTAGGCAAATCGGGCCTTGAATAGTAGGCTGAGAAGTGCGTTCTGGCTATTAGGTACGACATATATATATATATATATATATATATATATATATATATATATATATATATATATATATATATATAATGTGTGTGTGTGTGTGTGTTGTACCTAGTAGCCAGAACGTCGTACTTGGCCTGCTTTGCAAGGTCTGATTTGCTTAATAAGCCAAGTTTTCCTGAATTAATATATTTTCTCAAATTTTTTCTTATGAAATGATAAAGCTACCCATTTCATTATGTATGAGGTCATTTTTTTTATTGGAGTTAAGATTAACGTAGATATATGACCGAACCTAACCAACCCTACCTAACCTAACCTATGTTTATAGGTTAGGTTAGGTTAGGTAGCCGAAAAAGTTAGGTTAGGTTAGGTTAGGTAGGTTAGGTAGTCGAAAAACAATTAATTCATGAAAACTTGGCTTATTAGGCAAATCGGGCCTTACATAGTAGGCTGAGAAGTGAGTTCTGGCTACTAGGTACGACATATATATATATATATGTCGTACCTAGTAGCCAGAACTCACTTCTCAGCCTACTATTCAAGGCCCGATTTGCCTAATAAGCCAAGTTTTCCTGAATTAATATATTTACTATAATTTTTTTCTTATGAAATGATAAAGCTACCCTTTTCACTATGTATGAGGTCAATTTTTTTTTATTGGAGTTAAAATTAACGTAGATATATGACCGAACCTAACCAACCCTACCTAACCTAACCTAACCTATATATATAGGTAAGGTTAGGTTAGGTAGCCAAAAAAAGTTAGGTTAGGTTAGGTTAGGTAGGTTAGGTAGTCGAAAAAGCATTAATTCATGAAAACTTGGCTTATTAGGCAAATCAGGCGTTGCATAGTAGGCTGAGAAGGGCGTTCTGGCTACTAGGTACGACATATATATATATATATATATATATATATTGCATTTGCAAGATCAGCTGAAATATAAAGTAAAGATAAAGATCAACAATAATTCATTAAAACACTAATGGTCTATGGGTAATTTGTCTTAAAGCTGCGTACATTTTAGCCATTGTGTGGATGACATTGCAAACTTTAAATATTATTCTGTGTATGGGTGTGTAGTTGTGGGTGATTACACTTGGGATATGAACCCAATAAGAAGGGGCAGTACTGAGGCCACACCCTGGGAGTGAACGAGCGCCCCCCGCCTCCCTGGCCTCCCCAGACACACACACACTCAACCAAGAGCTAAAATATCTCTGGAAATTTTTATTTTAGCTCACCATGGTTCAGTCAGTAGTCTGTGTGCCTTGGGAGCCCTGGCTCACAAGTTCGATTCTATTGTACCCCCCTCTTTACTTTCTTATAGAAAGTAAAGAGGGGAGTACAAACCCTCTTTAAGGATCTTTAAGGACCCCTCTTTAAGAGGGGGTACCCCTCTCTTTACTTATAGATATACCTCTATTAAGTTCTTGTGGTTTGACTGTGCACGGTGCAATATATTTAGGCCTACATACTAGCAGCCTGCTAAAAGCTATTTGATTTTGAATGATGAATAATATTTGAGTTATTTGGTGTGGGTTTGAGTCCTGGCCAGAGAGGATTGACTGGGTGACAAGCCTCAACTCTTAGCCTCTGTTCACCCGGTAATAATTGGGTACCTGTTTCTTAGCCGATTGGCGGGTCGTGTTCCAGGGGAAAGTAACAGTGTAATGAGCTATAGGAAGGGAAAGCTCTCAGCCTGCTAACAAGTCAGAAGTCGTCTGCTCCTGTGTGTAAAACTAACAGCGCCAGTTCTGCTTACCAAAAATGGCCCACTAGATACTCAGATTAGTCGCCGAAGCTTCAGCGTTCAAGCAAGCTCGGCATCTCACCCATTTAAAGTTTGAGAATAGGTTGAGGACGTTTCGTCCCCAAGGCCTAAGGCTTACTGCAAATTAATGGTGAAACACTAGAATGGGTTGACCACTATCGGCACCTTAGCGTCACTGTCGGCACCTTAGCGTCACTGTCGGCTCTAACAAGGGAAAGAGAGAGGAGCTCGACTAACTTATAGGAACCTGTAAAAGACGTCTCTGGCGGGGCTCTGAAAACCATGACCTGGATTGGGCCTGGGGCTTGTGTTGCCGGGCTTAATTAAGATGATATACACAGCCTATGTGCGCTCCGTCACAGACCACGTCCCACCAGTCTTGTGCACTTACTCCCAAAACGATATGAAAAGGCTTGAAGTTGTGCAAATGGAAGCCACGTTAATAATTCTTGAAGTAAAAAAAAAATGCCAAAACATTGATTTTACGGGAGGAGTTGTCCCTCCTCAGTGTTAAAAGCAGAATTAAGGAACTGAATGATAAACTTGCAATTAAGATAGCCACAGATCCCCACTACAATGATATTGCCAACAAAAAACGGGTATACTGAAACAAAAAAACTTCTATGAGAAAAAAAAAGCACAAAAAACTTCTGTGCTGCTCACAGGAGAAAACAGGAAAAGCAAAAAATGGCATCTATGATCAGTCTGGCAAAAAATGGCATCTATGATCAGTCTGCTACCTGGAAGATCTTCACCTGCTCGAGCACGCTCGTCAACTCATGCTTGTAGAAAGGTTTCCTCCCTGGGAGGATGATCAATGTAAGATTATTACAAACGAGATGACAACGAAAAATTCCAACATATCACAAGAAATGAGGCATACGTATCTTGAAGAGATTTATAAAGAAACCAGAAATTAATTAGTTCAAATCTACTCTGATGGGTCATCAAATCCTACTAATGACAGAGCTGGAGAGCTGTAATTAGGAATAATGTCTTTCAAAACGGAAATGAAGAAAAAGCATGTATTGAGAACTATGCCTCTTCAACGCAAGCAGAGCTGACTGCTATTGTTTTGGTGTTAACATTCCTTGAAACACTAAAGGTGCAGTGATCTGCACTGATTCAAAAGCAGCATTACACAGCCATGGGGAACAAATAGGCAGAAAACCAAGTGATATTCGCTGAAATTAAGAGAGCTGTGAGAGTACCAACTAATCGGGAAAGAGTGGTCAAATTTCTGTGGGTTCCCTCCTGCGTTGGAATCTATGGGCAGCTGTGCTGGCTGCTGAGGGCGCTGAAGGAGACCACATTGAATACATCATACCCAAGACTTCTACAAGTTAAAGGTACTATCAGGCAACATCACTGGACCAAGGTAATTGAGGAAAGGAGTGTAGAACAAAAAAACCAGCGAATATGTACGCTGGTACAATATGGTTGTAATTTGCGATCCCAGTCATTATGGATGAAGGAAAGTGGCCGTGGGAGAGAATCAGTAATAACAAGAATTCATCTTGGATACAAATAGCCATGGAGATTCAAGATAGAAACAGCAGCGGAGCTGCAGAATCTGTGGTGAGAGTGACGGGCACTGCCTTGACCATTACCTGAGAGATTATACTCATCTAAGAGACATTAGAAATATGTGTAGAATAATAAACTCTACACCTTTGAGTTAGGAAAACACTTTATCAAATATAGATACTGTTCTTAAAAGATTCCTCCACTTTGCACCCACAAGATAACGTAAGTTTAGGGGGTTCGTAAATATTAATATTCTTGTTTTTTGGACTGTTTACTTGAGACAGTTAAGCAAGTCCCCGCTGTGTCTGGGTAAAAGTGACAGGATGAACAACCCAGCGAGTTTTCTTCCTATTGGGGAGTGTTTGTTGTACATGCTGCTATGCCGGCATGTTCACTGACAGCATGAATGGCGCTGCCCAATAAACTCGACTTTCGGGGCAAAATATAACAAAAATATTTAAAGTCTGGGGCACTGTACCCGCCTGTGTGTCAAACTAGTAGGGCAATGCTTATCTACTAAGCCTTACATTACTAGTTTTACCATATGGGAAGGGAAAGCTCTCAGCCGGCTAACAGGAGTCAGAAGTCGTCAACTCCTGTACCAACATGTGTAAACACAAAAACAAAAAACTGCTCTCATCTTTTCAGAGGGTTTCTGTCAGAGTTGGAGGCGTGTGGCGTGGACCCGGTAGCCGTCGCCCGTTGTTTCGTCCACAACAATAATGGCTTTGCTATATACTCTCAATATTGCACCAATTATCCCAGGTAACTATATAAACATTTGGACTTGTAATAACTTACTGTTGCTATTAATTTTTAGTGAAAAATTCCTATATCATGTTATATGTTACAAATGGGTGGAGGTAATTGGGGGTTGATGTTGCAGGACAGTGTGTGTACTAACTGAGCTGATGCGCGGCGAGGCTTCGGTCAGGGCCTTCCGTGAGCGACAACTTGCTCTCAGTCACACCTTGCCTCTGGGGTCATACCTCCTCAAGCCCGTGCAGCGTATTCTCAAGTATCACTTGCTTCTCGGCAACATTGTCAAGCACTTCGAGAAGGACTGGAGCGGGTACTCTGAGATCTGGAATGCACTCTCTGCCATGACTGGCATGGCCCATCATATAAATGATATGAAGAGGAGACATGAACATGCAGTTAGAGTCCAGGAAATTCAGTCTCTTCTATATGGCTGGCAGGCAAGTCTGTTTTATTTCAGACTTTTACTGTTGTAATAGTTTTATTACTCAAATGAAATAAATGAAACTGCAGAAGTCTTATAGTGACCCATAAGAGGCAGCTCCAATTTATACCCACCTAAACTCTTTCATATACATGTCTAACCTACACTTGAAACAATGTAGCCATCTAATGTCTGTTATGTTACCCGGTAACTTCTTCCATAAATCCTATTTCCGATTCGGTATTTACCCATGACTTTCCTAAATCTAAACTTCTCCAGTTGGTATCCAATATTATTTGTTATCAGTGTGTAACGCACTATATGTGCAACACATATAGTGCGATCCTTAAAACTAAGATATCCTTATTTTACAATGTCCAATCATCTTTTTCCCAACAGTTTGAAGATCTGACGACGTTCGGGGAGTTAGCGGCAGAAGGCACCTTCAGGATGTGTGGCGCTAAGGGTCTTCGACATATATTTCTGTTTGAGAAAATGATCCTCATAGCCAAAAAGAAGGAAGAAAATATTCTCATGTACAAAACCCACATAATGGTATGCTAATTTTATCCTGATATTTCCTATATATCAATAAGAGTGTACTCACCTATTTGTGCTTGCGGGGCTTGAGTTTTGTCTCTTTGGTCCCGCCTCTCAACTGTCAATCAACTGGTGTACAGATTCCCGAGCCTACTGGGCTCTGTCATATCTACATTTGAAACTGTGTATGGAGTCAGCCTCCACCACATCACTGCCTAATGCATTCCATCCGTTAACTACTCTGACACTGAAAAAGTTCCTTCTAACGTCCCTGTGGCTCATGTGGGTACTCAGTTTCCACCTGTGTCCCCTTGTTCGCGTCCCACCAGTGTTGAATAGTTTATCCTTGTCTACCCGGTCGATTCCCGTGAGGATTTTGTAGGTAGTGATCATGTCTACTCTACTATTCTGTCTTCCAGTGTTATAAGGTGCATTTCCCGCAGCCTTTCCTCATAACTCATGCCTCTTAGTTCTGGGACTAGTCTAGTAGCATACCTTTGAACTTTTTCCAGCTTCGTCTTGTGCTTGACAAGGTACGGGCTCCATGCTGGGGCCGCATACTCCAGGATTGGTCTTACATATGTGGTGTACAAGATTCTGAATGATTACTTTCACAGGTTCCTGAATGCTGTTCTGATGTTAGCCAGCCTCGCATATGTCGCGCGCGCGTGTCTGTCTGTCTGTCTGTCTGTCTGTCTGTCTGTCTGTCTGTCTGTCTGTCTGTCTGTCTGTCTGTCTGTCTGTCTGTCTGTGGGAGGCCAGGTGTTAGGTCACCATCGGCCAACTGTCACACATGAAGGCAAGTGAAGGGGTGGGGGGGGGGTGGAAGGAGCAGGCGGCTGCAGCACCACACTTTCAGAAGCACCTAACACCCCCCCCCCCCACTCTTCTAGTGCTGTTTACATCGTCAAATTTGAAATATGGACTGTGTTGCCTGTAGACTTATTCAGCAGTTCAAATGCTTTATTATATAATTATTGAGAGAGAGAGATATAGAGGTAGAGCAAGATATATATATATATATATATATATATATATATATATATATATATATATATATATATATATATATATATATATATATGTCGTACCTAGTAGCCAGAACTCACTTTTCAGCCTACAATGCAAGGCCCGATTTGCCTAATAAGCCAAGTTTTCATGAATTAATATATTTTCTCTAATTTTTTTCTTATGAAATGATAAAGCAACCCATTTCATTACGTAAGAGGTCAATTTTTTTTTATTGGAGTTAAAATTAACGTAGATATATGACTGAACCTAACCAACCCTACCTAACCAAACCTAACCTATCTTTATAGGTTAGGTTAGGTTAGGTAGCCGAAAAAGTTAGGTTAGGTTAGGTTAGGTAGGTTAGGTAGTCGAAAAGCAATTAATTCATGAAAACTTGGCTTATTAGGCAAATCGGGCCTTGCATAGTAGGCTCAGAAGTGAGTTCTGGCTACTAGGTACGACATATATATATAACTGAAAACTCACACCCCAGAAGTGACTCGAACCAATACTCCCAGAAGCAACGCAACTGGTATGTACAAGACGCCTTAATCCACTTGACCATCACGACCGGACATAATGAGGTGATAGCCGAGGCTATATGAACCACCCCACCGCCGGCACTCGGATAGTTATCTTGGGCATAGCATTTTACCAAATCACCTCATTCTTTGGGGCACACGTGAGGAACACAAATGCGAACAAGCCTGAATGGTCCCCAGGACATATGCAACTGAAAACTCACACCCCAGAAGTGACTCGAACCCATACTCCCAGAAGCAACGCAACTGGTATGTACAAGACGCCTTAATCCACTTGACCATCACGACCGGACATAATGAGGTGATAGCCGAGGCTATATGAACCACCCCACCGCCGGCACTCGGATAGTTATCTTGGGCATAGCATTTTACCAAATCACCTCATTCTTTGGGGCACACGTGAGGAACACAAATGCGAACAAGCCTGAATGGTCCCCAGGACATATGCAACTGAAAACTCACACCCCAGAAGTGACTCGAACCCATACTCCCAGAAGCAACGCAACTGGTATGTACAAGACGCCTTAATCCACTTGACCATCACGACCGGACATAATGAGGTGATAGCCGAGGCTATATGAACCACCCCACCGCCGGCACTCGGATAGTTATCTTGGGCATAGCATTTTACCAAATCACCTCATTCTTTGGGGCATACGTGAGGAACACAAATGCGAACAAGCCTGAATGGTCCCCAGGACATATGCAACTGAAAACTCACACCCCAGAAGTGACTCGAACCCATACTCCCAGAAGCAAAGCAACTGGTATGTACAATTATGTCCGGTCGTGATGGTCAAGTGGATTAAGGCGTCTTGTACATACCAGTTGCTGTAATGATCTGGGGCTCAGATCATTGGTTCTCCCTTCTCCCCTCTTTTCCCTCTCCTTCTCCCCTCCTTTCCTTCTCCCTCTCCCCTCCTTCCTTCTCCCCTCCCCTTGGCCGTCATTCGTCTCCTCTCCTCTTCCCCCCCCCCCTGTCGCCCATTTGTCAGGGTCAAGAGGTTGACCTGAGGGTAGGGTGGTCGTGGATACCTTGGCTTCTCCCACTCAACTTCCCCACTCAGATATTTCCCTCTCCACCCCCTCTCATCCCTCTCTGTCCCTCTCAGCAGCGGCCTTCCCCATACCAGGCAGAGTCAAATGTCCCTACTCCTATCTTAGAGGAGACAGGCTTGAACATAAATTATCAGTTTTGTAAACATTGCTCGCAGGTGCCTGGGCTCCATAGACGCGCCTTGTCCCCCTTCTCTTTAGCTGGGGAGAGCTGACTCAATCTTCAGGAATTCATGTAGCTTTCCACGACAGATCAGTGACGGTGATTGGCCTGAGATAAGGGCCAAGTCCTTATTGGCCCTAGAGAGCCAGACCTCAGGCCTACGTGTTAAATGGTTGGCCATTGCCAAAATAATGGGTGGAGCCCTGGGGCTGTAGTAGATGGTGGGAGGAGCAATCCTTCCCAGCAATAAGTTGGAAAAACTAAATTTCATCAGTGTGTCTTGGGAGTGTATTAGGAACAGGGCCGCAAGCCCGTATCCTCGGGGCTGAGGGCAGCCATCAACATCGTGGCCGTAGTGCGGGTATTTAAGGTAGAGTAGCACTTGAGTTTTCGTGTCCTCGGTAAATATCCATTGTGCCTCTAGGGAAAATAGAATAGGTGATGTGTTCAAATTGTCTTAATTTACATGTTTCATAAAATAAATTGTATAGCTTGTCCAGTGGTATTCACTTAACTCCCCTTTGATATATTTTGCTACTTTGTCATTTTTAGGTGTTGTATTGGAAGCCCCAGGTTCTCCTACTATTAATAGATACTAAAGTTGCCCTTGGATTCAAATAAGTAACGTAAATTACACAAACTAATTTTCCAAAATTTATTTCTGAAGTTCATATTACCCGGAGTCCCATGGTTACTGATTCCTTGCCTTCCTGGGGGATCGGTGATTGACACATTCAGGTATGGTTGGTCAGGAAGGTGGTGGCAGTGTAAATGTGTTTTGTTATTGTTTTTTTTTCTAATAACCCTTGTCCTTGGGGTATCTTCCTCATTTAATATTCCTCTTACATACGTGGCAGTCCAGTGAGGGGTCATGCTGGACTGTAACAGTGTTAAGCTGGGGTATTGAGTGAAGAAAGACAGAGATTACAACAGAGAGCGTATAGTACGATTATGAGAGATAACAAGATAACAGGATTAATACTGGGGAACATTGGGTTATTACTATAGAGGCCGCGGTTATTACGACAGGGTAAGCGGTCGTTACAATGGTGGCAGCGGTGGGATGAGAGGGGGTGGAGAGGGAAATATCTGAGTGGGGAAGTTGAGTGGGAGAAGCCAAGGTATCCACGACCACCCTACCCTCAGGTCAACCTCTTGACCCTGACAAATGGGCGACAGGGGGGGGGGGAAGAGGAGAGGAGACGAATGACGGCCAAGGGGAGGGGAGAAGGAAGGAGGGGAGAGGGAGAAGGAAAGGAGGGGAGAAGGAGAGGGAAAAGAGGGGAGAAGGGGAGGGAAAAGAGGGGAGAAGGGAGAACCAATGATCTGAGCCCCAGATCATTACATTGCGTTGCTTCTGGGAGTATGGGTTCGAGTCACTTCTGGGGTGTGAGTTTTCAGTTGCATATGTCCTGGGGACCATTCAGGCTTGTTCGCATTTGTGTTCCTCACGTGTGCCCCAAAGAATGAGGTGATTTGGTAAAATGCTATGCCCAAGATAACTATCCGAGTGCCGGCGGTGGGGTGGTTCATATAGCCTCGGCTATCACCTCATTATGTCCGGTCGTGATGGTCAAGTGGATTAAGGCGTCTTGTACATACCAGTTGCGTTGCTTCTGGGAGTATGGGTTCGAGTCACTTCTGGGGTGTGAGTTTTCAGTTGCATATGTCCTGGGGACCATTCAGGCTTGTTCGCATATATATATATACATATATATATACATATATATATATATATATATATATATATATATATATATATATATATATATATATATATATATATATATATATATATATATATAATATATGCGAACAAGCCTGAATGGTCCCCAGGACTATATGCGTCTGAAAACTCACACCCCAGAAGTGACTCGAACCCATACTCCCAGGAGCAACGCAACTGGTAACTACGGGGCGCCTTAATCTGCTTGACCATCACGGCCGGACAAAAGGAAGTGATAGCCAAAGCTATTTGAACCACTTCCCCGCCGGCAACTCGGATGGTAATCTTGGGCATAGCATTTTATCAAATCACCTCATTCTTTGGGGCACACGTGAGGAACACAAATGCGAACAAGCCTGAATGGTCCCCAGGACTATATGCGTCTGAAAACTCACACCCCAGAAGTGACTCGAACCCATACTCCCAGGAGCAACGCAACTGGTAACTACGGGGCCGTGATGATCAAGCGGATTAAGGCGCCCCGTAGTTACCAGTTGCGTTGCTCCTGGGAGTATGGGTTCGAGTCACTTCTGGGGTGTGAGTTTTCAGACATATATATATATGTGTGTGTGTGTGTGTATCACGAAAATAAACACGTGATTAAAAATGTGACAGTTTCAGACCACGGAGGAAAATTGAAACAGGAATTTCCTTAAGTACTTTCGTATATTAATACATGACTCCTTCTGAAGATGTATAAATATACGAAAGTACTTAAGGAAATTCCTGTTTCAATTTTCCTCCGTATATATATATATATATATATATATATATATATATATATATATATATATATATATATATATATATATATATATATATATATATTATTAAATATGACCGAAAAAGTAAGATTAATAATTCTAACACGAATTTTCTCAATCTTTCGTACATTACGCTTCACTGTTGGAGGTAAATCAAAAATCACTTCTCCAAAATTCATTTTTATTTCTAGTCTGACGCGACACGGGCGCGTTTCGTAAAACTTATTACATTTTCAAAGACTTCACAAATACACAACTGATTAGAACTTGCGTTTCCCTGATTTTATATCTACATTTGAGTGAGGTGGGAAGGGTGATGTGGCATTACATTTGAGTGAGGTGGGAAGGGTGATGTGGCATTAACACAAGACAGAACACTAGGGGATATTAATAGGGTATTAAAAGTATCAACACAAGACAGAACAGAAACAATGGGTATTGAATAGAAGTGTTTGTAGAAAGCCTATTGGTCCATATTTCTTGATGCTTCTATATTGGAGCGGAGTCTTGAGGTGGGTAGAATATAGTTGTGCAATAATTGGCTGTTGATTGCTGGTGTTGACTTCTTGATGTGTAGTGCCTCGCAAACGTCAAGCCGCCTGCTATCGCTGTATCTATCGATGATTTCTGTGTTGTTTACTAGGATTTCTAGTAAACAACACAGAAATCATCGATAGATACAGCGACAGCAGGCGGCTTGACGTTTGCGAGGCACTACACATCAAGAAGTCAACACCAGCAATCAACAGCCAATTATTGCACAACTATATTCTACCCACCTCAAGACTCCGCTCCAATATAGAAGCATCAAGAAATATGGACCAATAGGCTTTCTACAAACACTTCTATTCAATACCCATTGTTTCTGTTCTGTCTTGTGTTGATACTTTTAATACCCTATTAATATCCCCTAGTGTTCTGTCTTGTGTTAATGCCACATCACCCTTCCCACCTCACTCAAATGTAATGCCACATCACCCTTCCCACCTCACTCAAATGTAGATATAAAATCAGGGAAACGCAAGTTCTAATCAGTTGTGTATTTGTGAAGTCTTTGAAAATGTAATAAGTTTTACGAAACGCGCCCGTGTCGCGTCAGACTAGAAATAAAAATGAATTTTGGAGAAGTGATTTTTGATTTACCTCCAACAGTGAAGCGTAATGTACGAAAGATTGAGAAAATTCGTGTTAGAATTATTAATCTTACTTTTTCGGTCATATTTAATAATATATGTCTACAGGAAAGACTGCTACCAAAATATACTAATATATATATATATATATATATATATATATATATATATATATATATATATATATTAGAGAGAGAGGAAATAAGGGGGGAAAGGAAGGAGGGAGGGGGGGAATCGGTATAAGGGTGGAGAGGGGTGAGACTGTGAAAGACTGTGGAGAAGGAAGAAGGGGAAGATTGGGAGTGTGTGTAGAGAGGGAAGGAAGGAGAGGGGTAAGAGTGGGGATCTTGAGGGAGAAAGTTGGTAAGAGAGAGGGGAGATAGGGAAAAAACGAGAAGTGGAAGACTGGGAGAAAGGAGAAGCAAGAGTGGAGGGTGTTGTACATGCAATCAGTAGTATGTTATTATATTAAATATATTAATTTGTTTATTATTAGGCAACATGCAGATATGCTCATTCTTGCATAATTATTTTTATCTTGACAATGCTTTGATATAATTTACAGTGTTCGAATTTGATGTTGATCGAGTCTGTACCTGGTGAACCCCTCAGCTTCCACATCATCCCTTTTGATAATCCACGACTCCAATATACCCTAGAGGTGAGTCAGTTCCCAGCACTTTGGATTCCCAAACTGACTACATCTGCAATTGTAGCTTATTTAGTTACACTTGTTTAATCAAATTAGCAATTGAATAAGGCTAATTGACTTTTCTCCAATTTTGGGGAGGGCTCCCCATGGTGGCTCCAAGGAGTCACTGTGGGACCTATCAGAAAGAGGCATTTCATTACCTTCAATGCTGAATATTTTGTTTATAAATCACAGGCCCGTAACTTGGAGCAAAAGAGGGAGTGGACGCTACAGCTGAAACGGGTTATCCTCGAGAACTACAGTGCCAATATCCCTGCTCATGCCCGTCAGCTTGTCATGGAACTAGGCCAGAGTAAACCTGAAGGTAATATTTGTTTTAATGGCTTCAGGATTTAGTGTTTATTGCTATAATTATATTTTTACAGAGAACGTAAGACATTACACTGTGGATGTTTCCCTCTTATTCAGTAACCCATCCACTTAGACTTGGTTAATACAGTAATGACCTTACTTCTTGTAGGTTTGGTTTTCAATAGTTCAAGTGGTTGGGCACTGTTTCTTCACTCTACCTTCATATCACAGCTCTTAAGTCTATCTCCTAGTCCTTCTATATGCTGTACTTTTAGTCATTCTTGTTCGGTGCCTCCTGATAATTACTGCTTTACCTCTTGCGTATATTAAATGTCTCTAATTCTTCTTTGTTCTCATAAACTACCAAATTAATAATTAAAATTAAAGTACATTGTTCTTACAATAAAATCTTTCAGATATGCTTATGACTGAAGGCCGTAGCAGTGGACGCCGTGCCCATCACGCACCTGAATACCTAGAAAAGAGGAAAGTTGATCGTGACAGACGAAGATCATCTGAAGGAGTACTTAACACACGATTAAGACTCAGACGTCCCAGTAGGGCGAGGAAGGAAAAAGAAGAGGTTAGAAATTCTGTGTTCATATCAGAACTATTTAAGAGCAAGAGCAAACATCGTATGTTGCTAAATAATTATAATAATTATACAGTGTAGGATAAAAAAAAAACACATGTATTTATGTATTTTGTGTAAAGATTTGAATTACACCAAGCCCTTCACACTCTACTGAGTGCATTATCAAGGTCTGAGCATATGTTTTGGATGAGCTTTGCATATCAACAACAATATGGTTGCTATCCAAGATCCAGTCCTCTTATCCTTCCTGACCTGATCATGTCCCAATTGCTGATGCTCCCATGGGGAACATCTTAATCCCCTTCTAGGGAACATCTTAATCCCCTTCTAGGGAATTAAGATCAGCTGGCCTTACTGTCATTCTCCATGCCCTCCATACCATAACTCCCTCCATACCCAAATAAGAGTGGCTATTGAGACTACTTACATTTATCCATCTACTCAAATCTAGTTTAAATTCACTAAAAAAAATCTTTTTTTTTGTAAAATTCTCCTTGGAAGTAAAGCTTTTGTGTAGAGTGAAAGTATTTAAAGTAATAATTCAAACCCCTTCTACTATCCTTCTTGTTCTAATATTATTACTTTTATGGATAATTGCACACTTCTTAAAATCAATAGTGTAGTTCAAACCTTTACATAAAATACATAAGTACATAAGAGTGTGTTTTTTATCCTATGTTATTATGTCTGTGATAAGACATTACCATTACTTAATAATAATAATAATAATAATAATAATAATAATAATTTTTACTGTTATTTACAATTCATACAAAATATAATACACTGGACATGTAAACAGTGTTTACATAGTTGGTATAGTAATTGTTTGTTATATAAAGTCGCTAGTTATGCACAACATTTCAGGCAAATGTGACTGTACAATATTTTGAAAGTTTTCTTTGTATCACATTGCTTAATTACCTGACACAGAAGGGAGCTCGCAGTCGCAGTGTGAGTCGCACTCGAGACACTGAAGATGATGATGTAGAGAGAAAGACCTCAACAGTTTCAGCACCTTTATCTGCAGAGAAGCCTAAGGTCAGCAGTGCTTTGTAAACTTTCAAAAAACACAATAATCGAGAAAATTGTGTGGTTGGATATAAATAGGAACAGCTTAACTTAAACAATGGATCTCCTGAAAATTTCTCTCCATAAAGGCCTGTTAGCCTTAGTGAAGTTGTTCCTATTTATACCCAACCACATCTACTCATATGTAACTACTCAACATACTTTAAACATTCCATCAATCTGCCAAACCCACATCAGTTTTATTGTTTGGAAACCTGTTTCACAAAACTACAATTCTATTTTAAAACCAGTACTGTATTTACCCAGTTATTTTCTGAATCATTATTTACTCAATCTCTATCTGTAGCTTAGTATCCTATTTTGTGCTGATAAGTTTATCACCCTATTAATCATTTCACTGCTACAGGCAGCTGCAATCACCTCATGAAAATGGGCATATGATACATTAGACGACATCATTCTGTGTGCTTAGAACTTTTTTCACATACTGTATCATATTCTACTAGGTCCTCTGACCTTCAAAACTGGCTCTTGACCTGAAAATGCTGCCATCTGTTGGCATCAAAATCAAATGAAAGAATCAGATATCAACCAGGTCTGCTTATGGGCAATGAAAACAAGATGTTGAATTGGGATAAATTGCTATTTTATCAGTGCGGATGTAAGCTACAAGATGCAGTCAGATTTCTTCATAGAATGTAATGAATAGAATAATATCAGACAACTGAATGTTTAAACAGAATAATAAGACAAACATAGCAGCAGCCAAAAAAATTGTAGGTTGGATAATATGAACTTTCAAAAAATGGATTTCACACCAATTACAATACTGTTTGGATTCTCTATCATATAGAATACTGTTCTATGCTCTCATTGCTTTTCAGAGATCCTATACTGCCTGTATAGCATTAATCAATTATTTAAAATGTTGTCACTGCCTCAAAGTGCTTGAACTGTATTTCCTGACCATTAGCAACTTCCATGAAGAGACACTAAAAATGTAGCTGGATCTGAGGGGAACATGCGTGGCATAATTGGTTTTGTGGTGCTCTAATTAGCAGGGACCATGAAGGGTATTATATTACTACCATACAAAAAGGACTACTGTTCTACTTACTGTATTTTACTTGTGTTTACTATATTTAATTGTTTATATATATTGTTTTTGTCTGTATGTCTCTATGTGAGCAAAGCTTGAATGGTCCTCAAACACATTTATCACTTTGTATGACCCCTCAGAGAATTTGAACCCAGGCTGCCAGGGGTTTCTCCACCAACAATAAATAAATAAATAATATATATATATACAGTATACCTTATATGATCTACAAATATAAAGCATAAAGAGGTATATGACAAAGTATTCTACAGTACAGTACTGTCAACAAATGGATGAACATATAGTACAAGCAAATGGGGTATTAATAGGGTTCTATATATATCACCACAAAATACAGTATGAAACAATGGATACAAGTAGATCAGGGAGATGGAAATATATCAGCTATCAGTAAATAGGTATCTGGGAGTTAGGCAACTGTTGTGGGGTTGCATCTTGGGAAAGGTCAGCAGTTTCGACCTCGGGAGTGGAGGGGGCATGGGTACAAGCCTAAGCTCAGGTTTCCTGTCCCCGACAACGTGAATTATCTTGATCCATGTGCCTGTACTGTACTGCAACATCTGTGTGTGCATAAGGCTTAATAGCCTGTTTAACTCTACAGTTTACATTTTCTTTTAACATAAACTGCTTTGCCACATCCTCTCCTAATACAATAGTTCTATTTTTGTGTAACAATTGTTTTTCCCTCCACTTTCCCAGCTTGGTTATTCTATTTACAATTTCCTTCCTGTCAGTATAAATCCAGACCACTATTTTCAAGTAGTTTGAGCCCTGTTAAACAGCACTTCTACTTCACTAGCTAAGGCTGCCACCCCTGCCCTAGACAGAGGCTTACCTCGAATATATATAAAATCACACATCTTAAAAGTTGCCCCAGTTGCCAATAAAGGATATTGCATTGGTCTTGTAATATTTTTTTTCCAGAAAGCAGTTGATACCACATTGCCCTGAACATCCATTCACTGTCAATGGAATCATGAGATCATCATCATATATCATGAGGAAATACTGAGGCCCAACAATGGGATCAGACCTGCTTTCCTGGACTTTCTTGGCACATGCACTACTGAGACTCATCCATTGCCAATTGCTTCTAAGCACAATGCCATATAATGTATGATAGAGATCCCTCCCTTAGACCTAATTTGATTTATTGCTGTCTCATAAATGGCATGCAAGATCTCACTCCTACTTTATTCAATGTAATTGAGCCCCTTTGTTAGGGTAGGCAACAGGTTAGACCTATAGCACAGTGGTCTGTGCCCTCTACTGACAATCAAGGGACTCGGGTTCAATCACAGAAGCAGTTAGATTCATTTCCTTTCACCTGATGCTTCTATGAGTTAAACAACTGTTGTGGTTTGAATTGTGGCAAAGGTCAGTAATTGGCCATGGGAGGACCTTGACAAATCTTAAGTATAGTATGTACTGTACAAGCTTCCTACCTCCATTGATGGGAATTAATACTGCTGTTACTGGATACTAATACTGTACTGATATCTATTACAGCTGAAGCTCTCCATGTGGGGTCGACGGCGTTCAGAGCCAGGAATTGGAAGCAGAGAGTCCTTGACCATCTGTCGGATACCAGTAGATCCCCCCGATACTCCACAATCCAGCCCGTGTGACCCAACTAGTGATCTCATTTCATCCATTCAAGCAAGCCCTCTGACTCCAGAGGTAAATAAGTAGCATCATGATTTTCTAAGGTGTATCATCAGTACAAATACAGTAATAATAATATAATGGTATTTTATTCACATAACATACAATGGACATGTTAAAATGGGCACATAATATTTAAAATAATTGCACATCATATAAAGTAACTAGTTATGCACAGTGTTTTCAGCATGTACTGTATATTTTTTAATCCATATTTATATATCCATTAATATCTGTGCATTTATAGTTGTATGTGTAAACATAAGCTTATGTCTTCAAATTTCCTCTGGGCAATACACATGGGCATTTTCTTTTAATAAAAGATTTTAGTTCCCAATCTCTGGTTTGCAGGTGTCTGTTGATGGACTGTCAATGTCTGAATATGAGCGTGACGATGAAGAGGATGAAGTTCGCGCAGAAGAGGATACAGAGAATGGAGAGAACCTTGAAGAAATTGTGAGTCAGTTGTTGCAGCACAACCTACAACTGCAGAAACTACTATTAAGTAAACAGCGACGGAACTTAACTAGAAAGAAACCCTTTCATTACGAAACATCTGATACAGAAAATGAGGATAGTTCTTTTAAAGCCAATAATTCATACATCAGTTCAGACGGTGGCAACACTCTAAGACATGAAGACGTAGGTGACTATGTGGATTTTTATTTCAGTGGCATTAATGCTGATGGTAAGAGTGCCACGAACAATGAGAGTGCCAATGTTTCTAGCAGTGAGTGTCAGTCAGTTTACAGTAGTGCTGTTTCTGTTCATCAGCTAATTGAAAATAAATCCTTATGTAATGAAAAGAAGTTGAAACCAGTGAGACGATCTTCATCTGATCTTAGTTTCAAAAAGACATCCAGTGTTAAGAAGGTGAATTCCAACTATGATAACCTACTGAACATTTGGAGTTCTATAAGAGGCAGGAGTCCAGAGAAAAGACAGAATAACATGCTACAGCAGTCAAGACTCTCCCCAGCATCCTCTCCGACAATTATGGATAGACCAAAATTACGACGTGCCCAGTCTTTTTCGATTGAGAAATGTCTTAACAGTGTTACTGATAACATTTATGTGCCTACTACTAAATTAACACATCAACCAAATACAGCTCCCGTGACCTGTTCTAAGAAAGATGTATGGCTTCGCGATGATGTCTGCGGAAGCCCGCGTGAAAATCGAGGACGTCCAGTCACTATAGCATTTTATAATACAAACGAAGTAAGCCTCAGTGCACTAGAGCAATACTTGAATCAGCCACGTACCCCTGGTCACAATCATGAACGTTTTCCTTACGATACAGAAGATAATATGACAGACTATTCTATGACTCCCCATATGAGTATGGACAACATTCTGAGCATCCATCCTGAGCACAAGATATACAAACCCTCAAACAACAAGTCAACAATCAAGAATGTATTTAGCAAGATAACTAGCCCAAGAAACAACAAAAGTATATCAGAACCATCTGGCTCTGTATTTAATATATCAATGGACAGTGATCTAGACAAGAATGTGGATAAGAAAGCCAGCAAGATGGTGTATAACATGGCGAGGCAATGTTCAAAGACACTAAAGGAGCGTATCAAGCAGATAAGAGCTGAAGATGTCGATAAAACTTGTAATGTAAAGCCCCCCACAGAAAATATTTATGCCCTCCCCAATTACAAACAAGGTAGTTCCACCATCGGGGCTCGTTTGGCAGGAACGAACGAGCCTTCTGATTATGCAGTACCGAGGATCAGACCTATAGAACAGAAACCAAAATCAGACCTCAGACCTGACTCAGTTCTGTCCTCCTCTTCTATCCTCACATCTTCCTCGTCCTCCTCCTCATCCTCGAGTCGTGATACCAAGTTAATGGATGGCAACGAAGCCTCCAACATGGCTAATGTGGAGGAGGAAAATGAGGAGACACAGGAATCCCCATCTTTCGAAAGTGATGTCTCGGCAGATAGTTATTACGAAAGATCTTTTGAGGCGATAGAGAGCCTAGAAACAGAAATTTTCAGAGACAGTGCCATCTACAGTGATCCAGAAGATACAGAGTCGCCCCCAGCCAGTTTATATAAACACAAGTCATCTACTAGTCCTAAAACCAAATCCACAAATTCAGTTAAGTCTTCACCTCGCTTTTCATCAAGATCAACTTCACTATCTTTATCTCTTAAAGTGAACCGATTATCTGAACTGGTAGAACAGAAATGCTCTCAATCTGTTGAGAATAATACAAGCATATCAACAAAGGTAGCAGATACTAGTTCTAACTGTTCCCCACAGCCAAAGAAAGTTCCGCCACCTGTTCCCGCCAAACCGGAGAGTGTAAAAACCAAAAAAGGCAGAACATGTGGAAACTTGATAATGCAACAACTTAAAAATTTGGAAGAATGTTCTAAATTTAGCCGTGATGATCAGATCAGTCCCACTTTTGATGGTATTAGAACTTTAGACGATAGAAGAAAGGAATTGGAAATCTTCAGAGTTAAAGCTGAAGATGAAAGTGAGGCTGAACCTACAGCATCACCCAGAGGCTCACCTGAAAGAGAGGGTGCAAGTCGTAGGAATTCACGAACTCTTAAATCTCCTTCTATCATGACTCCAACACCCATTATCAAAAGTCCCATTACGCTCTCTCCTCTAAATTCTCTCTCTGGTAATCCGTCACCTGTCACCAGGTCATCTTCAGTTCCACCAAGATTGTCTCCTTGCCCCTCACTTACTCTTGAATCTCCAAAAACATCATCACTAGGAACAGCAAGTCCTTTAGGTAGTGAGAGGGGATCGCCGCTGCCATCTTGTGCAATTCTGATTTCACAGTCTGAAGGGGATGAGGGAGAGGAACCACGAATGTCACGGGGCTGGGTACGGCATGTTATTGGTAAACTACAGGCAGAAAGTGATGTGTAAACTCTCTCTAACTAAATTATTTAATTGGAGATGCAATCTCTCTTTTTTTTAACTTTAATTCAAGGCTCAAGCACTTGATAATGTTTCATTTTACACATCAGAAAAATGAACTGCGGCTATAATTTACATTGGTTCAATTACTTCCATGAGATGTTGCTCAATAAACATATTTTTAAATTTGGACAAGAGAGGTCCATAAAAAACAAAAATGCCATTGAGAATCGGGACTTATTTCAGACAGATGCAACCCTGCTCCATTAAGGTGTGTGTTGTTCTTCCAAGTTTAGGGTCATTCACATACCATTTGATTATATTAAATTACACAATTTTCCTTTGTTTTGGTTCCCAAGAACTCTTACCCTCACCCAGAAAGAGAGCCTCTCGTGCGCAATTTGTTTTTCATACAAACTAGTCAATGACAATCTTCGTAATACATAAGACAATATTAACTGGTCAAAAATTTTCTTGAGTACTGTATTACTATGGCCATAAAGGCATTGATGAAATTTTCTGAATGATCATAGTAACATGTGCATATAGCTTTCATTAAAGTTTTTGGCCTCTATGTATTATTTGTTGGTGCTTTCAGTATGCATTATTGAATAATAATTTCATAACTGAGATCTGCTTTTATGTATAGTTCCATGTGATGGCTTTTAGTCCCAAAGTTCTGTGTTATTTTTTAACATTATATTAATGACTCTCTTCTTGTGTCACGAAGTGATGTATCATTGTGTTGATGGAAGCCGAGGGTCATGACTTGACTAATGAAAGCAGTACTTGGCGAGCCATGTCTCGATCATAGTCGTCACTCTTTGACCTCATTTTTGTTTACCTTGTTACTCTTTGACCTTGTTTCTCTGACCTATTACTTATTGACCTTGTTACTCTTTGACTTCATTAGTCCTTGACGTCATTACTCCTTGACCTTGATACTGTGACCTCTTTTTACCCTTTGACTTCATTAGTCCTTGACCTCATTACTCCTTGACCTTGATACTGTGACCTCTTTTTACCCTTTGACTTCATTTTCCTCAACACATTGGAGTATATACTCCCTCTTATATGTTATTTTCCAAACAGCCATTTACATTTGTATGTTATATAAGATTTCCAAGTGTGTTTTTATAAAACAAGAACCTATGTACAGTTTATACAATCATAATGTTCCAATAAAATTTATTATAAAATCTTGACCTACAAATTTTTACTGGTGCCTTAATTCCCAAATATCACACCTATTTTAAAGTGCTACATTGAGGCCCATTGCACTAAAAAATAGTTTATAAATCAAATTTGAAAAAAAAATTCATGTGGCAATTGGAACAGTGAAAGGGTTAATGTTCCTATAGGTAAACAATCTAGACTTTGTAACTCACAGATGAATTAACTAGCAGAAAATACCGTAAAAAAAAGGGGCTACCATTTTCAGCATTGTTGGTTTATTAATTCCCATTGCCTGAATCGAGATGCTGTGTGGGGAAGAGAGATACATCGTAGAGTTACATAAAAATGTTAAGAGGAACTGGTTTCAAATCTGCACCTGTAAATAACTCCTCGCAAGATTGGGAGGCATTGCAGGAGGTGCAAAATAGCCCCATTGAAAAGCAGGGATGCAATGAGAGACAATTCTATAAGCATTAAGAGACCAAGACTTTCCAAACTCCTCTATTCATAAAGGACATAACTTACCCCTAATGTAAAGGATCCGGGAATAATGATGTGAGGTGACCTAACGTTTAATGAGCATGACCAAGCAAATATAGCATCATCTAGAAAAATGATAGGATGGGTTATGAAGATCTTTAAACAAAGAGATCCCATCATAATGTTAATACTGTACTGTACTATTTAAATCACTGGTGCTGTCCCACTTTGAGTACTGCTTAGTACTCTCATTCCCTTTCAGAACAGAAGAGATTGCTGAAATAGAGGGAATACAGAGAACATGTATGGCCATCTCAAAGCTCTCAAAATGTACTCTTTAGAAAGGAGATGAGAGAGGCATTGTACATGAAAGATCCTGCAGAGCTAGATCCAAAACTTACCTGATTTACTTGAGGGCCACTACCACTAGTGGCCTTGACGAGGACAGGAAGCCGGCAGCTTATCGAAGGTCCCCCCCCCCATTTGCCTTGATAATCTTTTCCAGTTTGACTTTGAAATTCAAAAGTCTTGACATTTACAGCTTCGGCGGGAAGGCAGTTCCATGGGTTTATAACCATGTGGGTGCAAAAGCATCTGTTCTCAGTCCTGCATTGTGGCTTGTTGAGCTTGAAACCGTTCTCCTTGTTTGTGTCACATTAAACCTTTTGAAGAAATTTTCTGAATCAAGATCTACCAAATTGTTCAGTATTTTAAAAGTTTCAATAAGATCTGCCCTGTCACGCATGGTTTGCAGTGTTGCTAGCCCTGTGGCCGTCAACCATTTCTAATACGAGAGAGAGATGGCTGAGGTTTGGAATGATTTTTGTTGCCCGGTGTTGCACTTTCTCCAGAGCTGTTATGTCTTTCTGAAGATGGGGGTCTCCATGCTTGAATACAGGTAATCTAAATGGGGCTGCACCAGAGATTTATATAATTGTACCACCACCTTCCTTTACTTAAAGTCAAAGGTACGCTTGATTATTCAAAGGGTTTGGTTAGCTTTTTTGACTTGTTCCTACCTGCTGTGCAACTTTCAGCGAGTGGTGGATTTTGATTCCAGGGTCTTTTTTTTTCATGAATCTGCTGTAATGTTATTAATCTGTAATCTGCAATGTTATTAATTTGGGAGCTGTGGCGTGGGTTGTTATGCCCCACATGCAAGCAAGGTCTTGCATTTGTCAATATTAAAAAGCATTTGACAGTCTTCTGACCATCTGTGGAGTTCATGTAGATCTCTTTGTAGGACTCCAATATCATTATTATTTCCCACTTTACCATATAAATACTTTACATAGTAAAATAACAACATACTGAAGCAAACGACATAGTAGGAAATGTTGAATAGTCCTGGTAAAGAGAAGAGATGCCACAGGCACAAAAAGAGAACAGTGAATGAATATCAGGGTTCTATGGCTATTCAATATCTTCCCAGCAAATACAGTATGAGAAATATTGCCAGAGCAAAAGTGTACATATTCGAAAAACGATTAGACAAGTTCCTGCAGGAAGTTCCAGACCATCTGGGCTGCAATGGACATGTGGGTCTGCGGGCTGCTCAAAGAATTAGCCTTCTAGGTCAAATAACACGAACGAGGAGCAACGAATTAAAGCTCAACAAACCACAATGTAGGACAGAAAACAGGAGATGCTTTTTCACCCATTGGGTTGTAAACCCGTGAAACCGCATACCCGCCGAAGCCATAAATGCCAAAACTCTGCTGGGGGTTTAAAATACAGATGGAAAAGATCATCAGGGCAAATGGGAAGACCTTTTACAAGCCGCCGGCTTCCTGTCCTCATCGATGCCACTAATATTAGTGGCCCTCAGGTAAAATCACAAGCCAAGCCTGACCCTAAGCTAAGCTACGTCAGGCTACAAGCAGCTGCGTACGAGATTGGCGGTTGGACCACTCTGACCGGGCCGCGGGGACGTTGAACCCCGGAACCACTGTCAAATTTATCACTTCGTTTTGGCGATGGCTTCACCATTTGTGTACTCTAACCCAGGGGTCTCCAAACTTGTCAATGTAAGCGCCACGTTATATATTTCCCATATTTATGCGGGCCGGAGGAATAAAAAATGAAAAAAAAAACAAAAAACAAATCAGTGCCAGTAATTTAATTTCCTCAAATATTAAAGTATAAACATGGAAAAATTAAAACATATCTTTTTGGAAAAAATCAGGGTAAACTAAATAGATTCCTGCCTTTAGTTTTTTGCAACCAAATTAGTGTGACGAATGATACTGTCGTTTTGACTACAAAATTTCATTAAAATCAGGTTCCAGATTAGATGAGCCAATTGTAAGAATTGATTTCAAGTGATCATCAGACAAATTTGCTCGATAGTTAGATTTCACATACTTCATTTTGGAAAAAGTTTGTTCACACAAGTATGTTGAACCAAAAATGGACACAAAACTACAAGCAAACTTTATCAGATTTGGAAACTGATCTGGCTGCAGGCATTTATAAAACTCAATCAGATTTCCTTCTCTATACTTATCTTTCAGTCTGTCATCTGCCTGGAGATCAATAATTTCCATTTGAAATTGAGTTGGAAGATTTTCAGCATTGCAGTCAAATGGATTATGAAAGAGCCTGATTTCATTTGCTTTGGCATCAAGGTCAGCAAATCGCTTCTGAAACTGTTTTTTCAAATCTGAAATTATTTCATTTGCAAATGAAAAAGGAAATTCAACTTTACTTTCTGCATGAAATTTTTCACAACATGGAAAATGAGCAAAATTCTTAACCTTCACCTGGCCTTCAAGTAGCGCAAGTTTTGCTCTGAATGCCTTGACATGAACAAAGTAGTCACTGATCAAATTTGTTTTGCCTTGCAATTTCAGATTCAAGTTATTCATATGACCTGTCATATCTGCAAAAAATGCCAATTTCCAAATCCATTCACATTCTGATAATAATGGCTGAGGTTTATTTTTCTCTGTGAGAAATAAATCAATTTCTAATCTGAGCTCAAAGAAATGCAGCAAAACCTTTCCACAACTAAGCCATCCCACTGCTGTATAATAAGGCAAGTTAACAAACTCCGCATCAATTTCTTTCAAGAAATCACGGAACTGGCGATGGTTGAGTGCATGAGATCTAATGAAATTAACCACAGAAACAACAGGTTTCATGACACAAGACATATCAACATATTTTAGGCACAATGCTTGTTGATGGATAAGGCAATGCAGAAAAATGGGTTTTGAGAATCCTCCAACCTCACAAGCTGTTGTAATTTGCCCAACCAAACCCTTCTTTGTCCCAGACATATTCTTTCCTCCATCAATTGTCACACACTGCACTTGTTTCCATTCCAGGTTATATTCTGTCATAGTTTTACTTACTTCATTGAAAATGTCCTCTCCAGTTGTTGTGGTGTGCATGCTGTGAACTGATGCTAATTCTTGGCTCACATTAAATTCACTATCAACACCACGAATGAATACTAAGAGCTGAGAAGTATCACACACATCAGTTGATTCATCCAACGCAAGAGAATACCAACAAAATCTTTTTGTTTTTTTCCTTTATTTGCCGAATTATGTCGCCTCCTAAATCTTCAATTCTACGAGCAACAGTATTTGACCCAAGACTTATCATTTTGAAGAGGTTTACTTTTTTTGGACATACCTCTCCTGCTGCTTCCACTATACACTCTTTTATGATACTACCATCAGTGAAAGGTTTTCCTTTTTTAGCCAACACATAGGCAACTTTGTAACTGGCTCTAGTTGAATTTTCATTTTCAGATTTTTTCTTACTGAAAACAGCTTGTTGAGAATGCAGACTGTGCTGAAATGATTCAAACTTTTTAGTGCGTTCTGCTCCTGTGATGTGAGAATAACTTGAGCCATGTTTAGATTCATAGTGCCGGCGAATATTGTATTCCTTCAGAACAGCAACACTGTCTCTACATATTATGCATAAAGCTTTATCATTTGCTATCACAAAAAAGCACTTTATCTTCCATTCGTCATTGAACCGACGGCACTCACTGTCCACTTTTCTTTTCTTTATCTTTTCTATATCTGAAAACATAAGGGTAAAATAAATGAAATAAATTCTACAGGAAAAAAACAGCTTGTATGTGGTGTTAAAAAGCATAGCATATTATTATATAGTGGTAAATATTATGGCAACAGCTTTCGTTGATAAACTTAATGGTTACCATTTTAACTATTTTAAACATGCAATATTTTTGGCTACAATAGTATTATTGATATTTTATATAACTAAGATAAAGGCATTGTCAAAGTACAGAGAAAAGAATATTGTACAGTGTTTGTGCTCCCTGAAACGGAAGCAGCGAAGCCCCACTCGCCCTCCATCCCCACAATATACAGTTATACACAACTGATTGGTTGTAATGCACAACACATACCTACCAGTATTAGTATCTGTGCGTCACACTATCGAGAGAGAGGAAAACTGACTCGGGTTGAGCGCCACCAGTCAGCAGCCCCAGCTTTGAATAATTCTGCGATGCCATTCGTACGATAATTATTTTTTCAAGGCCACCACACAGGGATTTGTTTGGAGGGCCGGATGTGGCCCGCGGGCCATAGTTTGGAGACCCCTGCTCTAACCTAATACATCACATTTTTAACGGAATTCATTAAACTGTCAAAACTGCTGTGCTATACATTAAAGCACCGTAGAATTCACGTTTTCTGAGCATCGGCTTCAATGGGTTAGGTGGGATGCTTAGGTTCATACGTTTCTGGCTAGACACAACCACTGTATATTAATGCCCATTTTCTGGATATACGACAGTAAAAAAAAAAAAAAAACACAGGTTTTGGTTAACCAGAAACATAGAAGACAACAGTTTTATTTAACCAGAACCGCACCTCACCTATCGAGGCCGATGTATAAAAAAATCTCAATATTACTGTGCTTTAGTTTTCACAAAAATGTCGCACTTTTATCGTATTAGTGGATTGCGTTAAAAAAATGGGAGGATTAGCTGGGGGAGCGGAGAAGAGGGTAACTACCAGGCGATGATGATGGACAGGTGGCAGCACCTGGTGTGTGTCAATACCTCTCACCTCAGTCACACTCTCAGTGCCGACCCGGAGGGGTACCCTAGGTACGTCGACCCCTGGCCCTGGGGGAGACACCTTGCTGCCCTGAGGGTACCCCAGGTACGTCGACCCCTGGCCCTGGGGGAGTCACCTTGCTGCCCTGAGGGTACCCCAGGTACGTCGACCCCTGGCCCTGGGGGAGTCACCTTGCTGCCCTAGGGGTACCCTAGTTCTGTCGACCCCCTGGCCATGGGGGAAGATATCTTGCTGCCCTAGGGGGGGTACCCTTGGTACCCCTTAGGCCAAGAGAGATCGTCCTCACACGCCTCAACTACTGTCTACGCTCCTCCGGCCCAACACTGCAAGCCACCTTCCTGCCTTCTGCCCGTTCTGCAACACCAGTCTCTCAGGAGGCCATTCGACTTGGAGCACCTGCAAGATGACGACCTGATGACCTTTCTCAAAGACAGCCAGTTTCTCCAGGTAATGTAAGTCAAGCAGATCGTACTACACCTTTCCAGTAATGTATACAGCATACTTAATTTTCTGTAGCGAAGAGGGTTGGGTTAGGACGCAGACACTTGCGCATTTTTTCTGAATCTTTACCGGCGTTGTTTACATATATTAGAGTTTGAGCTGCGAAGCACCAGGAGGCTGTTTATAACAATAACATTTGACTGACAAGTTTTGAGCCTCGTAAACTGTTTAATAAATGTAAACAACGCCTCCAATGGTAAAGGTACACGTTTGTAACTAGATGTATAACTGATGAAGCCTGGTTAACACATTGGTATGTTTCTATGTACAAATATATTTGTATATTTCTTTATACATACACAGTGACGTGTACACAGTGACGTGTACCCGGCGACCCACAGGTCTGTATACACAGTGACGTGTACACAGTGACGTGTACACAGTGACGTGTACACAGTGACGTGTACACAGTGACGTGTACACAGTGACGTGTACCAGGCCCCCCCTCAGGTGTGGACACACACACCGTGACGTGCACGCCACGCCCCACAGGTGTGGACATACACACAGTGACGTGTACTCCACGCCCCACAGGTGTGGACATACACACAGTGACGTGTACTCCACGCCCCACAGGGTGTTGGCGAGGCGTGGGGGGTCTCATACAACATGTATGAGCGTTGACGACGTTGATGAGAACTCTCCCTGCAACTGTCGGTGGCTGTAATTCACTTTCGTCCGTCACTCATGTCATCCTCTACTTCACACCTCCACCTCGCCTTTTTTTGTTCCAAGTTCAGTCTTTCATGCCTGCTAGTTCGTCCCTCCCTCCCCTGCTAGTTTGTCCCTTCCCCGCTGCCTGCTAGTTCGTCCCTTCCCCTCCCCTTCCCCTGCTAGTTTGTCCCTTCCCCTCCCCTTCCCCTGCTAGTTTGTCCCTTCCCCTTCCCTTCCCCTGCTAGTTTGTCCCTTCCCCTCCCCTTCCCCTGCTAGTTTGTCTCTTCCCCTCCCCTTCCCCTGCTAGTTTGTCCCTTCCCCTCCCCTTCCCCTGCTAGTTTGTCCCTTCCCCTTCCCTTCCCCTGCTAGTTTGTCCCTTCCCCTGCTAGTTTGTCCCGTCCCCTCCCCTTCCCCTGCTAGTTTGTCCCGTCCCCTTCCCTTCCCCTGCTAGTTTGTCCCTTCCCCTGCTAGTTTGTCCCTTCCCCTGCTAGTTTGTCCCGTCCCCTCCCCTTCCCCTGCTAGTTTGTCCCGTCCCCTTCCCTTCCCCTGCTAGTTTGTCCCTTCCCCTCCCCTTCCCCTGCTAGTTTGTCCCTTCCCCTCCCCTTCCCCTGCTAGTTTGTCCCTTCCCCTCCCCTTCCCCTGCTAGTTTGTCCCTTCCCCTCCCCTTCCCCTGCTAGTTTGTCCCTTCCCCTCCCCTTCCCCTGCTAGTGTGTCCCTTCCCCTCCCCCTGCTAATTTGTCCCTTCCCCTGCTAGTTTGTCCCTTCCCCTTCCCCTGCTAGTTTGTCCCTTCCCCTCCACCTGCTAATTTGTCCCTTCCCCTTCCCCTGCTAGTTTGTCCCTTCCCCTCCCCCTGCTAATTTGTCCCTTCCCCTCCCCTTCCCCTGCTAGTTTGTTCCTCCCCCCCCCTCCCCTCCGCCTGCTAGTTCGTTCCTCCCCCCCTCCCCTCCGCCTGCTAGTTCGTTCCTCCTCCCCTCCGCCTGCTAGTTCGTTCCTCCCCCCCCTCCCCTCCGCTTGCTAGTTCGTTCCTCCCCCCCTCCCCTCCGCCTGCTAGTTCGTTCCTCCCCCCCCCCCCTCCCCTCCGCTTGCTAGTTCGTTCCTCCCCCCCCTCCCCCCCTCCCCTCCGCTTGCTAGTTCGTCCCGTCTCCCTTCACCGCTTGCTAGTTGACAATGGGGATACTGCAGAGTTGAGGTGGGTGTGGGGAGGTAGGGGGGAGAGGTTTGTGATGAAGGTGGCAGTGTGGCACGTGTTGAGGGGGCCAGTATCAGGCGGCGGCCCCTATATAAGGGCGCCACACACCCGCCACAGAGGCAGTTATCCCCTGGAAGCAGTCGGAGGAACCCAACCTGCGCGCTCCTGCATTTGAAAAAGTTGTGGTATGTTTAATTTTTTTTAAGGCTGTATTGATCGCCAGGCAATCAGATGCTGGAGTTTGTCGCTGTAGTCATACGAATTCCGTTGTTACATCTCATTGAGAAATTGTTTCAACCATATAGAAATGTGGATGGAAGTATTATTCCATCCAAAAGAGTTTTGTATTAATATTTTTGTAGTGTGTCCGAGATAATGTCAACAGCAAAACCTGTTTTTAGGCCTAATATAGTACATATCTCTACTAAGTTAGACAGGATTGCTTATTTACACCTATGTTCGCTTAATGGTTTGTTTCACTTCCAGTATGCTCCTTAATATTTCAGTAGCACAAAACGAACTTTTGGGGTTAAAGTCAATAATTTGTACATTTCAAGAATCCTAGCTAGAGATTACATCTCTTTAGGAGGACGTCCAACCCTCGGCTAATTTCAGAATTATTTCGTTAATTTTCGAAGAAATAAAAGGTTTCCACAAAAACCAGCAAATGCGTATTTAATTTATTAAAATAGAGAAGCAAGTGTATAACATATTATTTAGGATATCGTAAATTAAACATATGGGAAAATAGCAATTAATTTCTATTTTCTGTAAATTAACTACACATGGGGGTTTAACCTTCGATACCCTGATAGGACAGTACAGACACACTTGCGTTTAACACCATATAATTATGAGTTATGAGAGGAGGCGGGCTGTCCGCCGTGCTCACACTGTATCATTGCCAGTTTCCTCTCTTTGTCAGGGAGCCGTGTGTGTGTGTGTGTACTCACCTAATTGTGCTTGCGGGGGTTGAGCTCTGGCTCTTTGGTCCCGCCTCTCAACCGTCAATCAACAGGTGTACAGGTTCCTAAGCCTATTGGGCTCTATCATATCTACACTTGAAACTGTGTATGGAGTCAGCCTCCACCACAGCACTTCCTAATGCATTCCATTTGTCAACCACTCTGACACTAAAAAAGTTCTTTCTAATATCTCTGTGGCTCATTTGGGCACTCAGTTTCCACCTGTGTCCCCTAGTGCGTGTGCCCCTTGTGTTAAATAGCCTGTCTTTTATCTACCCCTATCAATTCCCTTGAGAATCTTGAATGTGGTGATCATGTCCCCCCTAACGCTTCTCTCTCCCAGCGAAATGAGGTTTAATTCCCGTAGCCTCTCCTCGTAGCTCATACCTCTCGGCTCGGGTACTAGTCTGGTGGCAAACCTTTGAACCTTTTCCAGTTTGGTCTTATCCTTGACTAGATATAGACTTCATCCTGGGGCTGCATACTCCAGGATTTGTCTGACATATGTGGTATACAAAGTTCTGAATGATTCCTTACACAAGTTTCTGAATGCCGTTCTTATGTTAGTCAACCTGGCATATGCCGCTGATGTTATCCTCTTGATATGGGCTGCAGGGGACAGATCTGATGTGATGTCAACCCCCAAGTCTTTTTCTCTCTCTGATTCATGAAGAATTTCATCTCCCAGATGATACCTAGTATCTGGCCTCCTCCTCTGTGTGTGTGTGTGTGTGTGTGTGTGTGTGTGTGTGTGTGTGTGTGATAGAGAGGTCCTTCACGAGTATTTCAGCATATATGGATGATTTTAGATGAATACTATGTAGGATTCAAATGGGTTGCATGTACACACGCCTTGCTTATTATGTACAAGGTTTTTCACCGTTCGGATTTCTTGTTTGCATTTCATTTTGGAATTTTGTATTGTAGGGCCTAACCGTTAGGTTGACATATACCAGTATATATACCAGTATACCCTGGAGCATGCTGCTAGGTAGTCTGAGAGATAAAGTGAACATAAAAATGGGTCTTACATATTGAATGTTGTAAAACTACACAATTGCAATTTTGTTTAATTATCAGGGGAAAGCACCGAGCCCTTAAGACTTTATAGCACTTGGAAGGGGTCAGGATAAGGATTTGGGATGGGACGGGGGGAAGGAATGGTGCCTAACCACTTGGACGGTCGGGGATTAAACGCCGACCTGCATGAAGCGAGACCGTCGCTCTACCGTCCAGTCAAAGTGGCTGGGGTTACACAATTACAAAATTAGATAAGTACAAGAGCTTGACATTCTTGCAAATTATAGAACACTGGCAAGTGAGAGAGAGCCCCATTCCAAGCGCACAAACAGCAAACAAGGCAAAATGGCAGTAAACAAACTAACTTGTGGTCACTGCAACAAAACCTTGAAGACAAAGACAACGGGAATTGAATGTTATATGTAAGAATATATTTCATACTGCTTGTACAGAAGTGAGCAACACCACCGGCCTCAAAACTGGCCATTTACTCTGCGTATGCAACAATGTTTTGCCAACTTGGAATATACTAAGAAACCGTCAAGATTCCATGATCATGACCGAGAAAAATAATTTATTGAAAGCCTAGCAGACATCCAGAAAGTGGGGAAACAAATAACAATAGACCAGGAGCTGAGGCTATGGACAGGGAGGAAACAAACAAATTCAGGAAATTGTAAATTCTGATTCAGTATACACGGATACAGATGACAGTAGACTAGAAAGTGTAACAGACAGCACTGACAGCTCGGTATCGACAGACACTTCAACAGTCCCCGATAGAGACATAGACAGACAGACAGACCAGAAGGACAGACATATGCAAATTCTATATAAAGGGCGTTTGCAGACATAGACACTCTGGAAATAGAAAGTGACTGGAATGCAGTTACCATCATCCCAGGAAATGTTTAAATATGCTTAGGAAAGGACAGTGTCGATTTGGATCAACATGTAGGTTTTTCCATCCTGACATGTGCCAAACCTCACTCGAGGACAGAAAATGTTGACCTCAGCTGGCCAGACTTGCACGTGAACGGCCCGGGAACGCTACATAAAGAGTGGCAAGCAAGGTAATGGATTTGGAGGAAACTCAAATAATTTATTATACCAAGACAAAAGAGATACAAAATAGGGAACAAAGAGAATGTATAGAACTGGATGCCAGACCCACTTGTATACCAGAGCTACAGATACATTACACACCACAACAGAGCTACAACTACGACAGGCAACAACCCTACAACAATCAGCACTGGTCAGAACCAACTGGATATGTCCACGTATAATGAACCTGCTAGAAAAGTCTCCCAGTCAAACTACCTTAAATAGAGTAACCTCGTTCATCTTTGCCAACATACAACGACTGAAAACAAGAACAAAAACAAAGTACAATTCATAAATGGCCTCACTGAGTCAAGTGCAGAATATTGAGTTTTCCCAGAAGCCCCCCGAGCAGGGGAGCTGTTGGACAGTGAGCTCTGGATACCAGGATATAACCTATACAGGTGAGCTGGGGTAAATAGGTCACATGGAGGATTGGGATGGATACCTTGTATGCTCTGAGCTCCTTAACGTTACAAATGAGGTGGTAGAGGTACTGGGAGTAAAATAGATAGAAAAAATAAACTTGGTTATTATTCTAATATACAACCCCCTCCCCCCCCCCTCCACCCGATGCAACAGTTAAGGAATTCATAGAACAGATAAACAAAATGGAGAATAACCTTGATAGTTTGGCAAACCCGATACCTGATATTATCTTCCTTGGTAACTTCAACCTGCATAGTCTAAGATGGGGAATAGTAAACAATAATAATAGTAAATAATAATATATCAGGAAATCTATCTGGACATAATCAACCACAGATTAGAGAACTGCTTAGATTCTGTGACAAATGTTCACTCAACCAGCCGATATCAGAGCCAACTAGGACGAAAATATTCTAGATCTGGTCTTCACAAATAATGAAGACGTAATCAGGGACATTACGATATCAGATACCACATACTCAGATCACAAGCTCATTGAAGTGCAAACTATCATCAGTACTCAAAATAGACCTAAAACAATGATCAAGTGAGAGAAGTTAGTAAATTCAATTTTAATAATAAAAGGATAGACTGGGAGAAAATAAACAGGGAACTTACGAACAGTCAATGGGAAACTGTTCTAAGTAATATAAATCCTACAGAAGGAATAGAAAACTAACTTCTAAAGCATATAGTCTCTGAAACATGTTCCTTCTAAGAAAGCCAGAAAGAGGTTCAACTTAGAGAACGAAGACGACGCTACAAAAGAAGGAAAAAATAACAAAAACATTGATCTAGAACGGGAAGATCATGCCTCTCACTGCTACTTTACCACTACGACAAAATCACTGAGGCATTAGAAGAAAAACATAGTGCAGATGTGGTATATACAGATTTCGCAAAGACATTGAATAAATGTGATCATGGAGTGATAGCATACAAAATGAGGTCAATGGGAATAACCGGTAAAGTAGGACGCTGGATACTCAATTTTTTGTCGAACAGAACACAAATTAACAGTCAACCATATAAAATAGCGTTCAAGCACAGTTAAAAGCTGTGTTTCTCAGGGTACAGTCCTTGCACCACTGCTTTCCCTTATTCTCATATCAGATATAGACAAAAAATACAAGTCACAGCTTCGCATCATCCATTGCAGATGGCACAAAAATCAGCATGAAAATTACCTATGCTGAAGGCATTGAAAAACTATAAGCATATTATTAATATAGTTTTCGACTGGGCAACAGAAAGGGACGATATTTAAGTGATAAATTCCAGGTACTCAGGTACGGTAAAAATGAGGACAATAAACATAATACAAGGTACAAAACACAATTAGATTTGCCCATAGTAGGAAAGCAGCATGTAAAGGATTTGGGAATAATGTCTGACGACCTAACGTTTAGGGAGCATTACCAAGCAAATATTGCGTCAGCCAGAAAAATGATAAGATCGATTAAGAGAGCTTTCAAATCCAGAGATCCCATTACAATGGTTGTACTCTTCAAATCACTTGTGTTGTCTCATCTTGAATACTGCTCGGTACTCACTTCCCCCTTCAGAGCAGGCGAGATTACTGAAATAGAGGGAGTATAGAGAACATATACGGCACGCATAGACGCGATAAAGCACCTAAATTATTGGGATCATCTGAAAGCTCTCCAAATGTACTCGCTCGAAAGGAGACGAGATATCAAATAATATACACGTGAAAAATACTGGAGGGCCAGGTCCCAAATCTACACAGTAAAATAACAACGTACTGCAGTGAACGATATGGAAAAAATGCAGAATAGAACCAGTGAAGAGCAGTGGTGCCATAGGCACAATCAGAGAACACTGTATAAACATCAGAGGTCCGGATGTTCATCATCCTCCCAGCAAGTCTAAGAAATATTGCCGGAACAAGCGTGGATATCTTAGAGAAAACTAGTTAGTTTTCTTCAAGAAGTGCCGGACCAACCAGGCTGTGGTGGGTATGTGGGCCTGCGGGCCGCTGCAAGCCACAACCTGTTGGACAAAGCTCTCACAAGTCAAGCCTGGCCTCTGGCCGGACTTGACCGGCCAGAGGCCGGTCATATTGTCATACTGACTTGGCTCTCTTCTCATAGGTATCTTTCCTTCTTTACACTCAGTCTGCGCCTGGGCAAAGATTATTACATATCTTCGGTCTGGCTACATGTGATGCCAACAGCACCTCTGGTGATGGTAACTTGTATTACATTATACACTTTTCTTACAGACAATGAGAACAACGCCCCTAGTGATGGTGGTTGTGGCCCTGATGCTCACTGAACCTGCCCACGCCGCCGTTCTTCAGGGTGAGACATTACTTTTCCCATTTTAATCGAAGTCGAAATGTAGGCGGGTTAACTGCCTGCAAAGCAAGTCTTTCATGAATACTGAACTAGCCAATGATAGTTGATATAACCAGTGTATTTGTATCTTGTCTAATAACATTAGATGCTGCAGCATTATATAGGTAATGGTGCAACAGTAGAGCAGAAAGCCCTTGTCAATGATGCGTTTAAATATACTATATTTCATACGGCTTCAGAGTCAAAACGAATTTAAGTTGTGTTGTGACCAACAGAGAGGCCCCGGGAGGTGTTGGGGGGCCCAGGCACCGCGTACCTCCACGACCTCAACACTGACCTCGTCACCCTCCTTCGCCGGAACCTGCCACAGATCAACGACATCAGGGTTGTTGATGGTCAGTCCCCCTCCCATGTCTTTTGACTTTAAATGTACTAGCTCTTTACTTTTCTTCATAAATATAGAATGCCCTGATTCTGGACCAGGATCTGAGAGATTCCAGTCAATCCTCGTATTATTAACATGTAAATTTATTGAATAACCTCTCCATGTTGAATTAGCTCGATTCTGCAGGCACAAATAGTAAATACCGGTGCAAAGACCTTTCTCTCCCTCTCGCCCCAGCCCGGACACCCGCACAACCTGGAAGGATGACCCTTCTTGGGCGACCCCTCCACAGAGCAGGTCCATGACTCAAATGGGTGTTCAGTTTTTAATTTTCCCTCTGACCCCAAGTAGGGCCCCAGGCAACTCCCGCCGTCCCCAGACAGTCTTCCGTGAGCCCCCTCACCACCACCACAGGGCAAAGCTCTTGAAGGGGTATAATAACAGCCAGTAAGCTTCTTCACACTAGTTTCCATGAACTGCAATATACAATTTAATATCTTCCTGCTTTCTAGTTAATTAAGCTTAAACAGACCACATTTTATTTTGCCGACAGACAGTCTAGGCCTACTTAGTGCATGTCTTATTTCTATCTCTGACTGCTAATTTTGTCAATTTGCAATAATCAATTTAGTTTATGCCGGAAACGCTGTGCGTACTGGTGGATTTAGGCATAGTATATACTAGCTCGACTTAGAAATCCAACATTCTGCTTGTCTCATTTTGTATGTATGTACTTTTACCTGAATAAACATTATCATTATATAATAATCATCTATGAGAACTGAAATTGTGAAAACCACCTTTTTTCCGAACTTAAGATTCGGCAGCCGGAAACCTTCCCACATAGTGCTGAATATTGTGGCTTGCTTGAATAAAGAGTTTGAGGAGCCCAGCCTCCTGTGCTGGCAGTACTTATAGTAACGATGACCACCATAGTACATATACCGACGTGCAACGCAATTAGAAAGTAGAAATCGGTACTATTGAATTTGGACAAACTGGATTTTTTTTATATATTTGTGATGCAAAGACAAACCTAAACTTCCTAGGCCTAAAACACAATATCTGAGGCCTAATATAGTTCGTGTGCTATACTAGGCCTAGGAATATTTTTTGTTTAGCTTTCTTTCGGACGCTATGAAGTGAACAGTACAAAATTATTCTGATTGCTTAGTACGTCAATGTTTGTACGATGGTGCACATAGTTACAACAAGTACTATGTAAACAGGAGGACGGGTTGTGTTTGAGCGTTTGTAAACCAAGTCCACATATTTTTTTGTACTCGCCTAGTTGTGCTTGCGGGAGTTGAGCTTTGGTTCTGCTGTAACGTATCTTCTTATTTTCTATAATTTCCGATAATTCAAAGAGTGAAGATGGGTAGAAGTGGAAGGGAGGAGTAAGGAAGAGTGATCAGGGGAAAGGGAAAGTTTAGAATGAGAGAAAGAAGGAAAGTAGAAAATGCTGCCACCTTCCATTCATTAGTTAATTATAAGACAAGGAATGGAACTTGTCTACACAAAAATATTATCTGGTGTTATCACATCATCTGTAAGCATGGAAATCATATAGACCAAAATCTTAAAACATAAAACTTCAGAGTGCTCTCCACTCTAGCTTTCATCATCCAAGATCTAGGGATCAGAATTAAAGACAATTTAAAAAGTAAGTTACCCATAATGAATATATAAATGATTATCATAATTCAACCATTTCACTTGTTCAAATGTCAACATTAATTCAAAATTAGTTACTGCACCAAAAATTGAGAACAACTACGGCTGACTACCCCCGAAAATGACACACCACTTCAATATGAAAACACAATATACATCAACCTTACAAATTCACTCGTCAAAGTCAGAGTATACAATGATAGAGAGACGGGGAACGGCTGTCAGTCCCCACCCGGCCTGGCCTGCTGGAACCTCTGGTGTAGCTAGGCTTGCTTCCCCTCCCCCCCTCTCCCTTCTCGCTCTCGCTCTCGCTCTCGCTCTCTCTTTCATCTCTCTTTCATCTCTCTCTCTCTCTTTCATCTCTCTCTTTCATCTCTCTCTTTCATCTCTCTCTTTCATCTCTCTCTCTTTCATCTCTCTCTCTCTCTTTCATCTCTCTCTCTCTCTCTCTCTCTCTCTCTCTCTCTCTCTCTCTCTCTCTCTCTCTCTCTCTCTCTCTCTCTCTCTCTCTCTCTCTCTCTCTCTCTCACATATATATATATGTACAGTTCCACGGGTATTTAGGGGTTAGTTGGGACCGGGAACCGGGAGCTATGCTCTGCCTAGGGTGCCTGACAGCTGGGTGGACATTGCTTCAGATTCGTAGTCCTGAGGTTCCGGGTTTGATCCCCGGTGGAGGCGGAGACAAAATGCTTTCTTTCACCCTGATACCCCCGTTACCTAGCAGTAAATAGGTACCTGGGAGTTAGACAGCTGCTACATGCTGCTTCCCGGGGGGTGTATTAAAAAAAGGCCTGGTCGATAACTGGGCCGCTGGGACGCTAAAGCCCCGAAATCATCTCAAGATAATCAAGATATACCAGGAGATAACCTCTGGCGCTCTCGCCACCTCAACATTCCTGCTACACCTAGTCAGCGGCTTGTTTGATGGAAATAGCCACCTGTCTGCAATTATCAGTTTAGCAGAAAGCTAGGTCATCTGACCTCTACTCAACGAGTAAACAATTAACACTTAAAAAGGTGTTACTTTTGAATTGGTAAGGCAGATTGCCTGGCGCCGCCAATATCCTGTGTGACTCTGTATGTGAAACCCTCTCCCTTTCCGGCCCGTTGTCAGTGAGGGGGCTTGGTGGGGGGGGGGGGAAGGGGGGCTGCTGGAGTGTGATGCTCAACGGGACAGTCCTCTGTCCTTTGAAAGCCTTATGCTACTGTCTTCACCAGTTTTGCCAGATGTCTTTTCCTTTTCCTTATGTTTCATTTTTCTCCCACCCCCCTCTTCTCCTTTTGTCATTTCCCACCGACATTTTGCCCGTCTTGATTCTTCTTTTGGACATCTGCTTTGATGCCCGGATGTTTGAGGAGGCATACTCTCTCACCCGTAGAACTGTGGGACCCAACGTCGCGAGCGAGGGGACGCTTTTATGCCAAACGATGCCAATCCTCCTTTCGTCGCTGAACCCGATCTCGACGGATTGACGGTTCTTAATGTGGCGATTGTGGGGCGTATACTCACGACGCACCCCCTGGGGGCAGGGGGGCGGCAAGACCTGTCTTGTTTGGTGTCCTATCTTCTAATTGTGGCTCGGAGGTGGGTACAGGGTCACATTCGTGAATGAAAGTATTACCTCTCGTTTTCATATTGCTGAATACTGTTCCTCTTATGACTTTTCAGGCTCATGGGGTAGGCGACCAAGCCCCCGAGTCAGACTGTTGAAAGACCGGGCTCTGTAGGCCCCGCTACATTGGGCCCAGACCTAGCTCCTCTTAACTACTCCCCTCGGCTCCCCCCCCCCTCCTTTGTGGTTGGGTCGAGCCCCCAGCGGTGACCACCTTGTCCCCTGGCATGGCTCAGTCTTTCACTGTGACTACTGCGCCTTTTAATCCCTCTTTCTCTGGGAGTTCTTAATGTCATCCCCGCCACAGCCGCACGATCCCTTCCCATACTAATACGTATTACACCTTGTTTGGTCCTGCTTCGTGGACTAAATACTTTGATATCCACCATCTCGATTCTACACCTGACGATTTCTCCCTCCATAAACACCTTGTTGATTCGGTAGATGCCTCTGTTACTTTTAACCCCACTCGTTTCGGTACACGTGTCGTCGCTGCTCCTTCTCTGGATGCAGCTACCTGCTTAACTGCTTTGTCCCGCACTGGGGAGACCCCTGTTCGGGTCTCCAAAAATGCTCAGTTAAATCCCAGTGTTGGCACTGTTCTCCTCCTGCACCATGTTGCAACTGGTGTTAGGCACCTAAAAAACTGCCATGAGGATATTAAACATATCCTCGAAGCCCAAGGCCATCCTGTCCTCCAGGTGGACACGTTCACTCGACCCCCTCGTGGTCGTCGCCATCAGCCCCTTCGAGTTGTGAAAATCACCTTCGATAGTAGGACCCTTCCGCCGCCCTCTCTCATTCTTGCTGGTGCCAGGTGCTCCGTTCAGTACATCCCCTCTCCTAGACTTTGTAATAAGTGCTGGAAGTTCGGGCACGGTACCCTCAAATGCACAAGTCTTGTCTCGCTATGCCCCATGTGTGGGGACGATGACCACTCTAAGACAGATGGCTCTTCTCCCCAGGCTCACTGCCTCAATTGAGGTGAGGCCCACCCTACCTTCTCCTGCACGTGTATACACTACAAGGTTGAAGTCGTCCTCAACTTGAAACACTGGGATCGTTTGACTTTTCCTGAAGCGAGATGCCAAGTCCGCCGTCTCCACCCTTTCAATAGTGTCTCACACTCGTGTGTTGCGTTCTACCTCTCCCCATCCTTTCCACCTTCCTCAATCACACAACCCTTCCTAGGCCTTGGACCCGGACTATTCCTTTCTTTCTCTCCACCGCCTCCTTCCCTGTTTCTTTACGTTCTGTCCTGGAGGGTCTCCCTCCTGGTTCTCCAACTGGAGTTTCCTCCTTCCTACCCGGTCCGCCATGTCTCCAGTGTCTTTCCTATCTTCCCCCGATCCTTTTCCCCAGCCCTCCCCCCAGTCTCTTGGCCCTCCATGCTGCCTGACTGTCCAGGCTGTCATCATCATCCTCCCAGCAATCTTCATGTTGTTCATTCCCGTTCATCTCCTGTTGAAACCATTGAGTCTGTTGCCCAGTACGTTGTTGCAGGAACACCTGTCTGTCTGAGTCTGAAACGTAAGCCTGGCTCCTCTGTCATCCTCTCCAGCAGGTAAGAAGGCATCGCTTTCTTCCTCGCCCCCCACCTCTGACTCTATTGCTACGACTCCTCCCATTTCGGTGGTCGGGCCCCCTGTCCCAGCTATGGAGGTTTCTTTAGTCTCTGATTCCCTCTCGGTTGTTGCCCTTGCTAAGGTGCGCTCCCCGG